GCAATAAAACTTGAATAAGGGGCTGACGCACCTCTGTTATAGCTGCTAACAGACGTGCGTCAATCTTTTTTGCCAAGTTTTATTGCACACGTAAAGGTATTCCAGACTCAAACACTATATAGATTACTACATGACAAGTATGTTAGGATATATGTGTGGTACTAAGAAGTAATGTATTAGGTGCGTCGATCCTTTTATCAGAGGTCCCATCTTTAATTTAGCAGGAGTTGTAAAGTTGTTGATGAATGGTATGTTCTTTACGATATACGCGCCGTAAGAAAGAGTAATCGGGCCGAGATGATCTTATCAATACTACCATCTTTAATGTTGTAGGATCTGCTTAGTGTGAATGTTCTGATGAATGGCCCACACAGTCCACGCAGATGAAGATCAGTTAAAACAGTTAGCAAGCTTTATAAACCTGTTGATGAATGATAGAAAAACGCGCAATCGGGAACGTGGTGATGTTATCAACGGTTCGATCTTTAATTTTGCAAGTTTCGCTTTATATTATGTTGACAAATGACTGCAGCGTCCGTACATATAAAAAGATCAGTAGGGGTTCTACGTTGATCTGCAAACTTAGGCCTATCTTTGGGAAGGTTTTTGTTCAGAATCCGCTGTTTTTGTGAGTCACACACTGCCAAAGTACTCCTTCACTCTAGCTTGTTTTGGAAAAGTTTCCTTACTGTTACTGGCAGGATTGGGGAGGTACAGTCCAACTGGCATCAGTCTGGCCTGACTAGTGGAAGGGCTGCTAGAAGCGTGATGTAGTCAGACTAGTGGCCTGACCAGTGGAAGGGCTGCTAGAAGCGTGATGTAGTCAGGCTAGGGGCCTGACCAGTGGAAGGAATGCTATGAGCGTGACATGGTCAAGCGAGGAGCCTGACCAGTAGAAAAGCTGCTAGAAGTATGATTCAATCAAGCTATGTGGAAGAGATGCTAGAAGCGTGATGTAGTCAGCTTAGGGGCCTGACCAGTGAAATGTCTGCTAGAAGTGTGATGTAGTCAGGCTAGAAGCTTGACCAGTGGAAGGGCTGTTAGAAGTATGCTGTAGTCAGGCTAGAGACCTGGCCAGTGGAAGGCCAGCTAGAAGCGCAGTATGTAGATGACCGTGCGTGACTTTCCTGGATCTCATAACCACCGTCATCCAGCCCACAGGCCGCCCTGGGGAGCGGTCTATATCACTCCATCGATTGAAATTTGACAAGGCGCAAAACGAGCGGAGATGACTTGATGGGTTGGTCGGTACACGGGTCCTGGTGAGGGGACACGCTTCGGACCATACGTCAGGAAGAGGAATGTGCTTTTCTATTGCCAATATACTAGTGGGGCCATGGTGACTGCTGCGCACTGATACATAAGAACGTTTTTTCCATAATTCACCCAACTCTCATAGTATTTGAACAGTATCACTAAATGCAGTATTACTAAAATCCTCAATTACACACTGATGGGATAGAAATTGAATGAAGATAAATTGTCCAATACCTATTTGCGATGATAATCATGATCAGACGATGATAATTCATTTTCAGCCGAGCACTAACCGACCACTACAATACAAAAATCGAATAAACGTCGACAAATCATTCACTTTGGATGAGAGGAAATCATAACGTTCTGTGCCACAATTTTACGTGGACTGTAAAGTTTTGTTACATTGAATCTTTCCCCCAAACATTTTGACATAAAACTCTCGACATTTCGGGACATCCTACATTAAAGCTGTGTTTAAAGGTTGAAGTGATAATAATTCATGAATGTCATTTCCGCACGTCCGCGGTTGTACCCACCGTGACAAATTTTTCATCACTTCAGAAGGCAGCCGGATGTAGCGAGTTCATGACGTCGTTCTGGGCGACATTAGTGTCGATAAGGATGGCGGGATGACATTGACCTTGTGACAGTTTGCCGTGCCTCGTGACCACTTTAACGTTCCTTCCGTCTGGTTACCAGGAGCTTCAGGTCAGATAACTGCTAACGTTATGGCACAAGGCGATAACGACGGTTAGAAGTTTATGGTTCAGGCCTGACTGGCCTTCAAAATCGGTATTTTCACCCGTGAATTGCATGTACGTTCTAAGTCATGCACTGCGTTGCTTCCAAGGGAAATCGAGTCTAGCGTTTCTCTAAAACATAACATCAAGTATGCATTGTTCTTTTGATTCATAGAATATGTTATGCTTTAGTTGAAAGGAAATATGTAGCGATGAAATATGCATTGCCAAAAGACCTGGGACGGTTGGATACACCATGACAGACAGAAGAAACTCATGACTGCTTACTTCAAAGTTCTTCCGGTTGGTTCCACACACAGGCAGAAAGCGTGGGTAGATAAGCGGGTTGACATTATGGCAGGAGGCGATAACAGCTGTGAAAAGGTTACGACTGAAGCATGACTGGCGCTTAAATCAGCCTTTTAACCCGAGGATCATGTTCTTAGTCTTATTCAATGTGGTTTGCTTTGAACATTAAGGGTAGTATTAAATCCTGGCCCACAATCAAGCAACTCATTTCGTTGCATTGAATGCGAATGACTTGATGAAAACTCGTGATGATCAGGTACACCAACAATATAATACACGCGACATTGCAATGTCTAAAAAGCAGAAGCACCTTAAAGGCCTTCAACACATGCACAACACAACAAAACAAAACAATACAGAAAGGGTATTTATTGATGAAACTTTAAAAGTTACCCTTGCCGTACTAAGGTTTCAACAATAAAAGATAGGTAATCATAAACAGCTGGTCTCATTATAAAATGATATGAGATGCAAAATAATAACAAGTTGATTTGGCTGTTAAAATGTTATGTTTTTCACGATTGCCTTTTCGAGCCAGGCAATTTGAAATTCCCAAAGGAGTATATACGTATTAAAGACAACAGCCGCGTTCGTAAACATGTCAAAACAATACCTTAGGTAATCAATCATGGTTATCAATTTGAAACTATTCGACGTGTGTGAGACTGCGAAAGAATTAACGTAAATAAAATTAAGCCTACTCGAATAGCATAATGTATCCATATATCCATCGTAAGAAGGTAAGGTTTGTTTACTCATTGACACTATCTCATGCCTGTTCAGATATCAAGTTGTATTATAGTCAAATGTAAATTATATTAAGCGGATACTGAGGCAATTTATACATAGATGAAGTAGAGCTTGATGCATTGATATCATACAGCAAAAGATGTTTTCTAGATATTGCAATGTCTTTCCAAAGGCTTATATGATCTAGCTTCAATAAGGAATGTGTATCAAAATCTACTCTTGGAATCCAGTTATCAATCATTCTGTTATTAATAGCTTACACTGACGAAGTGTATTCCATACTGTATAATTCAACAATGAAAACGTCCCATCTTCCCTTTTGTGTACCCAAAGCTGGAGAAAGTTTATAGTCTGGGAGGACACTCCTGACTTTTAGGAGTATAATTACATCTGCCCTTCGCACGTCATGATGAGGAAATCACGCCGATTCCCGCGGCTCCAGGGCCATTACTTCTGATTAACTTACAAGCGAGTGTGGGGAGACTGAACATGACTCCCCCATCTCGTGATGGAGGCACGCGCGGACCGGGATTTGTTTCATCACAAGATTGAAGGCCGGCCCGTCCATGATGCGGGAATCTAATCAAAAAGCAACACTGAGAACGCAATCTATCAGCGTCACTTCGTGTTGCACGCCTTTTTACAAACGGGAATGGACCGAGTGGGAGGAATTCAAAAGTACGTTTGGGAGAGTTATTTCAGCTATAGGTTCTTCTAACCGGGTTATAGAGTATACAAAGGGAAGGCTGTTCACGATAACGACAGGAGACAGCCAGCTTTCGTAGCTTAACCATTAATCAGTCTATGTTTAGATTACTTTCCGTCACACACATAATAACGAGAATCAACGTAGTGGAATGAATTCAAAAGAATGGTTGATAAGAGTTCACTCAACCGTAGCTTGTTACCAGGCAAGCCAGTGTAAAAGAAATATTTTTCATGATCATCAGTTTGAACTGCTTTATAGGCTCCCTTGGAAATCAGCCTTCAATGGCTGAAGTGACTACCCATATGTTTGAAACATTAATAAATGAATAAATAAATAACTGCTGTTATAGAACATCTTCTAGAAGCTTTCAGTAAGATAAGGAATCGGTAATTTTAGCGGAAATCTTGTTTATGAAGGCTTATGTGTGGCTGTTTAGTGAAGCCACTTTAGCAGCATGTAATTGTAGAAAAGCCACACACCCACTATCATCCTGGTAATGAAATGCATCGATCACTTCCCAACGAATTCTAGTCGTTATGGAATATCGATCTTCATTCAGTTCAGGCTTAGCGAGCTCTCCGACAGCGTACTATTACAACAACGCTTCGCCGAGATCTAATCCTGTCTTGTCATGCTTTCAAGGTTAAAGTATTACGGATTTCACGCCTAGTTATAGATTTTTACTTTGCACATTGTTTGCTGTCAAATCCACATGCATTCACCATGTTATGTTTGAATTTCAAAGAACGGGTTTAATCTTTTGATGGTATTGTTCACTTTGAATGTCTACTGCTGTCTAATTTGGTCGTCTTTACAGATTTCTTAATGATTTCTGACGCACTAGTTTGGGAGCATGAAGTCAAGGGCACGTGACTACAGTCTAGCCTGTTGGCAGAACGTACTGCGCCTGCGCGAAACCCTGGATTTTTCATGGTTTTCATTGGATCAGCGTTACATCAAACTTTAAATTTGCTCGTTGCTTTGAAAATATGACATCGTATTCGCTATTTGAAATTAGTGAATACGACCTTTACCTGAGACGTTCTGCCGAAATGCTATGCAAAATGCAGTAACAATAACAGGTTTCACGCAGGCGCAGTACGTTCTCCTGATGTCCTCAGTATTCAGTCAAAGGTCTAACGAAAAAGCAGCCGCATGGCCGAACAACCCATTGAGGCAGAATAAAGGCTTTGATTTGACTTGACTTGACTTGACCCTGTTTTCCTCCACAGCCCACCCACGGTCCGTGGACGAGCTAAATCTCGTCAAACCACGCGAGACTGCCCGTAGCCGGGTACGGCGGAACGGGGCCGTGTCGCAACAACAGGTCTGTATCAGTTTTCTCATTAGTACTGGCAGTGGTATTGATTTTAGTATTGATAAACCTAATAGCATCCAGACTTCACGGACACAAAGCAAGGCCTGTCATATTACACCGAACAGCTTGGTACACGTACGTTAGAATGTAAACCTTACATAAGTCACCGACTGACTAACAACGTGGGTTCAAAAACAGTAAAGATTGACCAAACAAGGAGACTAATTGGCCAGGGAAGTTCACTGACTGACTCTCCTGGCCAATTGTTTCGATTTGTGCCGAATTCTACTATCCGTGCCCCTATTGGAAGGCCCAGTGAAGGCTAGCTATTTAGCTAGAATGTATTATACTATAGCACTCTTCTTGCATTTTCTGATTAGGCTTACACACTACAAATTTGAGAAACATTGATTCCAGGTTAACGACAGAGAAACCTGCCGACTGTTATTTTTTTTAAGCTGATGTCGTTATTTGTTTGTCATCAGGTCCCAACAGAAGGGCCGATAGAACACCCGGGACAACAGAGACCGCCTGAGAAGGAACAGGAGCCAGTTCTGGTGAAACAGGTACGGTAGTGCAGCTAAGTCAGACCTCAGTCAGCTTACTGATGTGCCCTGTGTGGCAGAGACTGGCATTCTCGTATAGGACTGTTCAGCCATAGCTGAAGCTGTAGGGCTGATGTATCAATTAGGATTTTACCATGATCAATGTTGACTGAAGGAGGCTGTGACTAGTGCAGCTTACAATCAGTCATCCACTTACTCATTCGTTCAGCTCTCTCTCTCTCACTCACTCACTCACACACACACACTCTCTCTCTCCCTCACTGACACTGACACTGCGACTTGTTCCAGCTTCTTTACTAGCAAAGTTGCGAGAGCGTGCAGGACAGCACTGAAACTTCCGACACATACGGACAGATGAAAAACAATTCAAGAGCGTCCAAAATTGGCATCAACAAAATCAAGCCTCAAGACAATCAAGGCAATCTTTCAGACCCTCCCGCGGGTGCGCAGCAGACGCCGCAGTTTATTGATTCTGATGGTTCAAACAAATGGGCCTCAGCTAATCCACTCTCGGCAGTGTACACAGGGGAGTCCGTGCGCACCCAGCGTGCCGGCTGCGGACCACGTAACGATAGTCACAGTTCAGAACCTCTCCAACCGTGAAGCCACACAGGCACAGACGTGCTGCGTTGCATATCTTAACTTCGTTACTTCATCGTGTCTTAGACAATCTAAGGAGATTACAATCACGAAACTCGATGGCCCGATAACGACGAGCGGAATCTGCTTGTATGTTCTCGAGAGAATGTTCCTGCACGTTTTTCAGTGAAGTACGTAATTGAGGTCATTTGTCTTTATGTCTTTACAGACACTCGCGAATCCCACAACATGCCCTGCAACAGCAAACCTGCTACAGTAATCAATTATATTAACCCTAAACAGTACACCTGGGGTCCGCGCGGACCCCAGCACTATATATTCTGTAATATCTTTTTTGTTTCTAAAGATTTTTTTCTGAAATTTTAGGTAATTGTCACCCACAAAGTTGTCTCTCAATACAGTGCAGAAAACTCCGTTTCTACCATTTATAAAAAAAATTATATCTGATTTTCTTTTGGGGTCCGCGCGGACCCCAGCTGGCTTTCGATCATAATGGATACACTGGCGTTCTTATACATTACCTTATTTCCGTTTTTATATGTTTTTATGCACTCATCGTATGTCTACCAAGTTTTCAGAGAACGGTGTAGTAATAGAATTAAATTTCGATAACTTTGGTGTAATTATGACGTCATATGACGTCAGAGCTAATAATATAGTCCACCATATTGGATTTTGACCAATGACGTCATCAAATTAGCATATTCTATGCATATTAAATGATTTAACTTATATTTGATTATGTAAGATGTTATTAATGTTGGAAAAGAAGTGTAATTTAATATAAAACTCAGAAAATTTTTATGTTTAAACCAAAATTACTTCTATTTAAAAAAACTGCCTGCTAGAAACCCGTTGCCATGGCAACACAAAAAAACATCAACTTACTAGTATTAAACTAATATGAACTTTTTTCCAGAGACATTTTAGGAAAGGTCTCCAAATTTGATACTTCTAGCGCAATCCGTTTAGCCGCTATCTGAGATCAAAGTTGGGCCTCAAAAGCCCCTTCAGTCTGAAATGGGTTTAAAAATCGGGTATTTCTTCTTGTCTTCTTTTCTTCACCAAAAAATAGAAAAAGGTCAAAATGTATGATTTTTGTATGTAATGTGGACACAGAGGTTCCCACATCAGTTTGCAAAACAATTGAGCTGGTAGCATGTTGATAATTTCTTAAAATTAGCAAAAAACTGTACTGCGCGGACCCCAGGTGTACAGATTAATCAGTCCGGGAAGGTGTACTGTTGAGGGTTAATGTATACATCACATCACGTTGCAGCCATTTGAAACCACGAACTGAACTGATACATGTAAATGGATCTATGAAATCTAATGCTTTATTCAAATAAAACACGTTGCCTCAAGTCAAGGAGGACGCCCCAAATGTTTTGTTCAAATCACTTTGGGAAGGAGCTCAGTGTTCACTAATGATCCCGGCTTCGAGCACAAACTGCCTACCCGGCAGAGTGATACTTGAGTGATACCTCTGTAGTTGATGGTGCAGCAAACCGAATTCCGCTGTGGTATGAACCAGGTGAGCGGAGATGACACGAAGATCCGCCTGTCTGCTGTCGAGGCGCCAGTCAAGGTCTTCAGCTAAACTTCTTTCATCAGATTGTAAACTCCAACTCTTCCATAGACTCCTTTCTTCACAACAGACATTTTACTGATACAAAACAGGTGATTTGTCATGGCTGACAGTCCAATGGACCACTGTGTCTGATTTGGCAGGGAAGGGCCAATGCATTAGCGCCCCGAATCTCTGACACTGACTGCATTTAAAAGCACTATCTGCAGACATTTGTCATTTCGTTTCTCCCTCTAGGCTCATATTCCTCACAAAACTCAGTTTTAGTGTACTTCATTGGATTTACACCAGTTTGGATGTTGCATGTGCACTCAGGTATGTAAACAGGCCATACAGTCTAGCAGGATCCGTGTATACGTGAGCTACGCAATGCTCAAAACTGGGAGAGAGCTGCGGTGAGGGCAACATATCCCATCCATGAACTGCAGGGGAAAATAAACTGTATGGTGACCAAACTCCCCCGGCAGTATTATTATAGTTGGCTAAATTTGACTTAGTTTTCAGCTAGTATTGTCAGTTTGATGGAGACTGTATCAGATGGTCTGTACGGATTACCGGATACGGTATTGTGAACCGACGACGAAATCCTAACTAATCAGCTATTAATTTCTCCAGAGAGCTTCCCTTTTAGGTTTGTCAGTGGAGTGAGTAATTGGGGTCATTGTTTCTATCCTAACTAGAAACTCCCACCTCATCCCTGACGTCTTTACCATGAAACGTGAGAGTATAACCAATCCATAAGTCTAACTCCTGACGGGACCAAAGCTTAGATTCGTCTTTGCATTTATTTCTAATTACAATCTTCGGTTGCTTTCTGTTGTTCTCTAGTTATCTGTATGTAGAAATATTATTACACTTATTTTCAGAATGTCTTATAAAACCATTGATGGTCTGTAGTAGACTCATCAGTCTTTACTTCAAGTGACGCGTCTTCATGTCTTGTACGTTACTTGATTGTTTTACCTCATTTTTATATACATCTTAATGTGACATGCGTGCAGTGAGCATATATATAAAGACATTTATGTAATGTAATTTTAATGTAAAACAAATAACACCAGCAATGTCAATGAAGGTTAGACATCCAGGTAACGTAATGGACAAAAGACAGTTACTCAAGCAACTGGTTGTTGACAACTTCAAAATCTATCCATTTGCTTAAGTTGTTTTCCTGTGTGAATAAGTTCTGACAGCTAGTCATCCCGGGCCACTGCGTCCCTGGGGTGGTCTGTCAGCCGCTGACGTCTCCTCCACTCCCCGCCACTTCCGCTGCCGGGAGATACCAGAACTGATGACATCTTCCTACATGACGGATCACCTCCTCTCCGAGATGCTTCCTCACAAGTAAATTGATGGATCTTGGGAATTTCCGGTAGTCTTATAACGACAAGCGACGCTCCTGAGTATTTATAATAACGGTGACGTTAAGAATATTATCACTCTACATTACTGAGAAACCACGTCTTCCTCCAAAGTTGTAACTCTTTATTACCCAGTTGGTGTACAACCATAAAAACAATTTCCCTCGCCAGAAATGAGAAACCATATCTATCTGATTTGAAACCAGTGAAATCGGTATTACTAATTTACCTTGTGTTTTAATATTTTTATTTATTATTTTTTATTCTCATTTATAACGGTATCAGGAACGTCAAGGTGATAATCACTTTGCATTAAGAGCAAGTATGTCTTCTTGTAGAGCTGTAATTTCGTATTTCTTATTAGTGAACAATATGAAGTCCAATTCCCTGTTGCTGGCCGATAAATGAGCAACGGTAAGTATGAAACAATATTGAAAGCAGGTTTTGTTTATGAATACTATATTGCAATGCTAGACTTATTGTTTTTGTTTTTGGCAATAATTAGCTCTAAATAAATAAGGTGTGACTCCTTTAACACGGGATCTCCGGCTTTACCTTCTATCCGAGAGGACGTCCCTAACCGAAGCTAGGTACTCATTTCACCTGAGTCAAGTGAGATACAACCACAATAAGACAAGGGAGTTTGATACATGCCTAACCTTTCAGTAATCCTCACAAAATCACTACATGAGTAATTCCAGGCCCGTGCAGAATAGATTACGGCGCGGCCCGGCGTTGTGCTGATGCGTCCCGCGGTGATGGGTGCCATTTCTCCGGCAGCTTCGCGGCAGGGACGAGCGATGATGGAGGGTCGTGGGGCGGCAACAGTCAATAACTCACGTGCTTCCGGCGGACCCGCCAAATATCACCGGCATCCATTCATATTACCCGCCAGGCACAGGGTGGCAGGGGCGGCTAAATTGTGGGGCGTGGGAGTTGCGGGGTTCACCATACTATAAAAAGATACTTGTGGCAACTTCATGGAAAGAAACTTAACTTTGCGTCGAAGCGTCCGTCCAACAAGAACATTGCACTTCACATCTTCTGTGCTGAAAGCATCTCGTCTCTGAACATCTATAGGTCACAATTATCTGATGGTATTTCTTTGGCAGTGAGTGTTGTAAACCACTCCACAACCACATTGAAGTTTTTTGTCGTATTCATCATCTAGAATGGTCATCCAGAATTCCTCAGAGTATATCAGTTAGTGCTGAATTATAGAATGTCAAGAGCAGGTCGATGTGATCTTGCCGTTTCTTCGCATGCCTTGTAACGACTAAACTTATGTCGATATTTTGCAATATCAGTAAGCCCTTTCCAGGCGGCAGAACGTGATGAGCCGATCTGTCTTTACCCGTGCCATAATGTGATCTGTCCCAGACCATCTTACAGCAAATCGCTTTCACTTGCTGTTTACTTAACACTCGCCCCCGCTGATCGATCAGAATCAGCGCTAACCAAACCCTGGACTGGCGGGGTGCCGGCTGGTTTAGCCGGGAGAAGAGCCGTATCGACCGGGCCTGGCAGACTGTCAGGGCAATTTGGACAAGAGGATCTTTCTTCAGACATCGTTAGAAGCTGATATCGGCGTGCTCTGCCAGATCTCACCCCGGGCAAGAGACGTTATGGGTGGATTCGTAGGATTTGGGATTTGAAGGTGGGAAGAATTGATTAACATTTAGGATTTGAATTCGATTTGGGAATCGTTGTAGGCATAACCCGTGTTAGTAATGATGGAAATGTACGCACAGTTTTCACACATGTAAGTATGACTACTTAGTATATTGGAATTAAAATAGATTACAACGCATCATAGACGAATTCGTCTATAGGGCCAAAGGTCTGACTACAAACAAACTTGCTTTCACCCCCCCCCTCCCCAATGGAAAATTCTTTCATCAAAAAGACTTGCACTTGATGCAAGCACGTCTAACCCCCAGTTAAGGGGGAAGTGACGTTGAATTCAGGATAAGAAGAAGATTCTGAACCACGCTGCATCATCGAGAGACGTCGCAAGCTGCCTGACCGGCATACGTTAAAGAACGGACACCTGCTTCACTTAGTACAGGATCCTCCACGCGTTTTGGAAAGAGCAGCGTCACACTCCAGCTGGCATGTAGATGGCGCCTACTTGTTCCCGACTCACAGCCGGGCCCTGTGGCTAATTGGATGGCCTTGGCTGCACGTCCCGCTGCCGCACAATCAATGAAATAAAATTCATGTGTAATTGGCCAATTACGGCTTAACTGCTAAAGTGTGAAACTTTCTTCACGCCTGGCCACGCAAATTCTCCAGCAGTTCTGGTAAGAGCATCACTCAGGGGGATTTACACCTCAAACCTGTTAGAACCGCCGTTTCACGTCTTTTCCAACTGCCTGCAAAGACGCGTTAAGTCTCTAAAGGCTGATAAACCCTCCTGCACGGAGACAGATGCCACACATTACGTCTTCTCAACCGGAGGAAAGTCGTTCCACTTGGAGGAACTCGTTACCACCAGGACGTGCCTTCCATGGGAAATTAAGGACCTCACACCGTGACTGAGACTTTGGTGTGACCCGTGGCTCTCTAAAGACCTGTCCTCTGCCCCAGTATCTGCCGGAAATCCCCGTGAAATGTTCGCAAACATCAACTGTTTCTGTCATTACGACATACCTCCTGAGGTTTTATATTGTTTAATTTACGGGGACGTCTTTCTTCAATCGAAGTCTTATGGGTATGAAATACGCGGTCACAATATTCGTCGTAATTCATAGTACGATGTTGAAAATCCCTTCATTGTTGTAGTCCCTTGACGTATTTTTCGCAGGATCAACGAAATTACCTAAATAAAAGGACGGTAACAAGATTGAAATACGAATGTGAAATGATTATTCTTGTACCATTTTGTTGATATGTAATCAATGTGGCATTGTTGCCTTTCAGGACAAGTTCCAATACTACACGTCCAAGTACTTCACGATGACCCCGCCAGGTTCTACAGTATGGGTCAACATGGACGACCCCAGATCCATGGCAACGGTCGCGTACGGCCCGGGGTCCAATCACCAGCGAGGAGCTATGGTGGGTGGGGCTGATGAGTGACAGCACATTGAAATTTTGTTTGGTATTAAACGATTCCTACGCGTATGCATTGGCTGTGTCTTAATTACGGTATCATACATATACATGTATACTCAAGTATATCTTTTTTCACAACAATTGCTATTTTATATACATATGTAACTAGCTTGTAAAAGCAAGATTAGTACTTTCATGACATCAATTTAATGCCGTCACCATGTCTTGTTGATGCTTAATCTCCCAATTACAGTTGTGATCACACAAATCTTCAATGATAAGGCTCACCCAACATGTTTGTATGTTGAAAATGGTTCTCTTTTTTCCAACCCAGACAGTGTCTTTATCCTTTGACTTCCCGTTCTATGGACACCCCATCCGGAATATATCTCTGGTAACTAATGGTAGGTCAATCTCTTAAGAAAGATACACTTGGGATCCATAATTTACAAACTGACATTTCACAATATTAGCTAGTTATCTTACATCATAAGAAGAACTAGAAAGGTAACATTTGCAATGCAAAGCGTCCCTGTCTTCTTTGATGTTCTGTAAGTCCTAGACCTTCGCACTTGGTCTGCTCTGTTAATAATTTTTATGGTGACAGGAGTTTAAATCCCTCCTTCTACAAAATTGCAACATTATGTAATCCAACACCAGTTACCATGGTGACAGACGGTCAGGTTCATGTCATTGACCAGGTCAGTGTTTGGAACGGAAGAAAAAACAGAGCAATTTCGTATTGTTTTTGGCAAAAACAATACGTTTTCCTTCGGTAAACAAACAAAGTTATGAGAATTTTTAAAAAATACATCATTTCTGTCCAGGTTTCTTGTACACCGGCACCCTCCTGCACAAGTCCCTGACAGACACGCAGTACATCGCACCTCTCATGGCGAACTTCGACCCTAACGTCAACCCGGAGTCCATGGTTCGCTACAGGGATAATGGTGGGCATTGCCATTGATACTTCTGATTAGAGAGAGAAGATGTTGTTCTAGTAAGCCCAAACGTAATTTAGTTACACGTGTTTTAAGATTTTCTGGGAGAGAAACAAGAAAGAGAGAAACATTTTGCTGCCAAAACCGTGCCTATCTAGTAGATGTGCCACAGACATAGTTCTGGATACGCGTAAAATATGGTGCTGAGGTTCTGGATACACCGAAACTATCCATAACCGTGCCTGAACATAGTTCTGGATACAGCACAGTTCTGGAAACGACATATACTGTTTCTCTTATAGGTACGTCCTTCACCGCAGAGTGGACCAAGATCAGATTGAGAGACGACGAGGAAGGTAAGAGGCAATCACCACACAGAAACTCATTTGTGAAATGATGTCGTCAGGCGTGCTTCCATGTAAGAAAATTGCTGCGTTGGCATTTCCTGATGCACATTTTATAGACTTTTATAAGGCTCCTTAAGATCAGTGGGAAAGGTCTAAGATTTGTGGAACAGAGCTGAATACCAAAGGATCATCATCATCATCATCATCATTACGGACATGTGGATGGAAATACGTCCATTCTCGTTTAGAAAGTTTTAGCGTCCCTGTCTTCTTTGATGCTCTGTAAGTCCTAGACCTACGCCCCGAATTTCCGGGCAAGTTGGTCTATTTGAATATATGGCTTTTTTTGCAAGATCTCCCAACACATGTAAATATATAATATCTACATTAAAATGTTTTCATTGTGTTAGACCTCCAACTGATAGTACTGTTCCTCCACAGCCGGCCCTTTTACCTTCCAAGTCACTCTGTCTACTGACGGAACCATCGTGTTTGCCTACAGACAGGTCAGTACAGTCCAGATAGTCCAAAAGACAGTTAGGACAATAAAGTTAGTTTAGTAAGGCTGATATTAGGCTTTATATTACGAACGTTACAAGTGTAGTCTTTGGTTGAGAACCCAATTTCTGGCTGTTGTTGTTGTTTTCAATTATATGGCGAAATAACTGATTGCATGTTGGTTCAATGACTGGCAACACATCTAACCAAACTGATGGTAATGGCTTATTTTATCACCCCGCAGATTCCGTTCCCAGTTTCCAGAATAGACGATTCCAAGTTGCCCGCCAAAGTAGGGGTGTCCGACGCCTACACAGTCGGAACTCGCCTGCTACCGTTCCTAGGTGCGTACAAATCAGACCCATTTATCTACTTCTGCTGAAGATTCCTTGTTTCGTAGCACTTGAGCTTTTCAAAGCGGCCCGGTAGGTTCAATAGGCAGCCAGTTTCATGAGAGCCTTTGCGACTGGGCATTGGGCCAAAATCACATTTATAAGCAGCTCTTTTTTATCACATTAACGTTGTACATGACTTTAAACCACCAAAATGCCGGATCCTGAATGACGTCAAAGTGACGTCACTACGCTCTATCGGAAATGATAACAACACTATTGACATAATTGACCCACAGATTTCGACAGAAAAACCATCTACGAGTATAACACGATAGAGCTGGATCTGACCAAGGTGCTGGAGGGAACTTTCTTCGTGCTGTCACCGAGGCCAAGTAAGTCTGGTGTTACCAATTATAACATTCATAACTTGTTTATTTCTTCAGACCTGTTTTGATAGGCCATGTGACGATCTTTGGTTTAGGGTCTTCAATAAACAAGTTTTGGCGAATATATTTAGCTAATACCATGCAACCATTCCTAAGTTTGTACCATTTGGAATTTTACTTCTGACCATCTCAAATACCACTGATTGTTTATTGTATTATTGTATTATTTTGATTATGATTTTTGAATTTATTTGTTATCTAATTGATTTACTTGTATCTTTAATTCTAATTATCATTTTATGTTATATCACTTTCCTTTATTACGTTATTATGTTCCCATGGGTTCCCTTGGAAATCAGTCTTCAACGCTGTTTCTTCTAAGATTAATAGATAGATAAATAAATAAATAATACTTTACGTTTTACGGCTTAGGAACGCCTGATGTATTGGGGTGTTTTTAACAAACAACACACGTTTTGTGAAGTAATCATCACAAGAGTAGAAAGTTATCTTAGTTGGCAACTGCCAATATTAAGGCCAGGTCCGTGGGGTTGACATTGGTCTTCAGAATACTTTCCTTTTGAGAGCGTAGCTGCTGGTGCAATAACCATCTTAAGATACAATCGTCTGGGCACAAAATTGCTTCGTCAGAACTAACCTCCAGCTAAAGAAAGGTTTCCGCGTTTCTGGCGTGGGCGATAGCTAAAACGTAATTACGAACTTGGGTTAAACCCAATATAGAGTTCCCGTAGGAATGCATGGCGCACACTAATACCTACAGCCTTTTCATTACTTGTGTTCAACTTACTGTCAATGGTTATCTCAAAGTGTCTCAAGTAGAGTAATTAATCCAAGCCTATTTTTGTCGCCGAGTCTCTTTCGTCCTCTTCGTATATAGTGTGTAAAAGATACTCGGCAGATAGAATAGGTTTGGAATCTTTGGAAACCAGGCTAGCAGCTATGTTCATTTGTAAAAGGCAACTGCCGCCGCTACATTCCATCAATATCACACTAGAAGAAGATGTGTGTCCGATTGAAACTCGTGAGGTTGACATCGTACAGTTGATCACACAGCGCACTTTCTTATCGCAGCTTTTCTTCCATTTGTTGGCACTACATAATGACATAAAATCATTCCAAGAGAGTAAGAGACGTACTACTAAATGCTTTCAGGGGCCGCTGTGTGTCTACTAAATTAATTTCAAACTGAAGGAGTGGTGAGTGCTTACTATAAGCTCCCGCGAGCTGGAATGAGCTTGATCAACCATTGATCAACAAGATGGCACAAGTTTAGGCACAGCTCCGTACTCAAATGCTAGGCTCGTGACTCTGTTCACTCCAGTTGAAGGACATTCATCGATAAGATCGTTAAGAGGAGCCTATGGACATTTTGGCCTTCATGCAAATACTTCAAGCTCGAACGCCTACAGCCTTCGGACATATCGCTTTATCTGGTGTACAATCCTGATCGGTTGGTAATGAACTCCTCAAGGACAAGTGTAGACAACCTGATGGAAGCTCGCTATTTGCTGGCATGCAATTCCTAGATAGGACGGCTCATGGGAAAAGTGCATCCACCGTTAGCTTACTTACCCAAATGGACTGACATGACGAAAAGTTAGAAATGGACATTTTTACGATGATAACACTGCACTGAGTGGTGGGAGAAGTGTGATTTAGGCTTTAAGTGATAAACTGCATTCACTACTTGCCAAATTCACAGGAATCTTTGCACATGATCATTTCCATCAGCTGACGTTACTGAAAGTTAGGAATGTGCACCTAATGGCAGTAGATGGGAAAACATCAGCATTACCACGATGGACGTTAGTCTATATATAGCTGGTGAACTAAAGAGTGAGAGTGTGCCATTTACAGTAATGGCTGAAAACTGCGTTTTTCCATTATCTGTTAAAGTTTAGACTAAATATGAACATTTGCAAAAGGGTATTTCAGTGGAGCTTTGGTGTTTTAGAGTACTGTACTATCAGGGGAAGACAGTATTGGCCATCAATTGTACAAGTAAGCCCCGTAAACTCATCGTGAGAAAAATTTATATCATGAACATACAACAACAAACAGTTTTGTATTTTGTTGTTTTTTTATATTATATCACACTTTTTGTTCCAGAAATCTGCCCGGCCGGGCCCCGGTTCGGGAATTCTGGCCTTGGCATCAGTGAGAAATGTAACACCAGTGTCCGGCATGTTAATGTTGTCTATTATTAAATACTGGCTGTACCTATTTTCCATCAATAAAACCATCAATACAACACCTCTAGATCATAAACTAGGCTCAGTGCCCCAGACTCACAGGCTTTTATTGGGTAATAGATCAAATCCCCCTCACAACGAATTGGCAGAGGGTCATGGAGTCAGGATAAAATTTGTAAATCTGTCTACCCAGCAAAATGTACCCAGATCTTAGTATAGAATTTATTGAACAAGGGAAGCCTACAGGCTTACTGCAACTTCAATCGACGCTTATTCGTTTTGAAGAGACTGCCAAACTAGCTCATAGCATGAGGCTATTATTAAGGGCCAATCGAAGCTACAATAAACGTTGTAGGATTTTCGATATCGTCTCGCCAATTCCTAGTTTGTACCGCCCTGGGGCAGAGTCTGTTTGTCTGAGACGGTCATTACTGAGCAGGCACCTCGAGTCAAATGTCTCATAAAGTAAAGATATAAATCAGCAGCCTGGAGTAAGATTAATGACTGGACCATTATTATTAAAGAATAAGCGTATTTGCCAGCGATATTCCCATTAGATGAATGAACTTGAACCCTGAAAGCCAAAATTGGTCACCCCAAGGCAAATGACTTGATATAAACTATTAAATCCGAGACCTGAAGTAAGATTATTAAGTCTCCAATAGCACAAGACTTAGTATTCTCGATATCATTACACTTATACATTTTGTTACTGATGTTCAGATAAAGTTAATAAACATCTACCTGAAAACTTGCAAAATTGTGAATGAACATTATTTGGTAAACTGACAGTTAACTCTCCTTGATCTGAAATTATAGTAACTACAATAATATAAGTTTTTATTCTTCTTTTTAATACTTAATTGCTAGTTACTGAGTTGGCATGTATATGTATGAGCTCCAAAGCATCCGAATATTTACCACAGTCTCGTAAACACAGTCACATTTCCAAACCGGGGCTCGGCCGGGCAGTCTAATGGAAAGAAACGTTTGATATAAAAGAACAAAGCACAAAAAAGTTGAAAAATCAATAATAGGAACTATTTGCGTATATCATTGATATATATATATATTGTTGATTTTTCGTTAATCGAAACAGCCCGGCCGGGCCCCGGTTTGGAAATGTTACTTCAGCATAAACAGAAAGAGTGTCCAATATTCCAACTAGGCCCTGCTATGTATCACGCCAGTAGACGCTGTGTTATTTATGGAGGTCTGCTGTCCACATGAAGGGAAAATTAACAAACCTACAATCTCATGGATCACTGCCAGGATCCGTATTGGAAACCCGGCCGAACGTTCTGATCACACCGTCCTCTAACCCTGGTCATGTCGCCACTCGTACTTTGATTAATGGTGTCGATACTGCTGCAATGTATATTGGATATCAGCACTAAATTCAACCATATGCAGAACTGCACTTAAACCACGGGATATATTCATATGCGAAAACAACAGCCTTTATCTTTATTACCAGGTCCTATAAGCCTCATAATACAGTAGGTTTAGTATCATAATGATGAATGGTTGCGGTAAGACAATAAAACACATTGCATATTAGTGAACGGATCCAGCTACATGTAATATATAACGAAGGTAACCATAAAACATAGAAGTTGTTACGTGTTGAATTCAGTTGCTCTGATCACGATAATTCTAATTGCATAATTTAATAATCATGTGTTGTTATCTATCATTATTACTATTTGATTCATTACTATTATTATACTCCCAATAGCTAATTAATGGTTGTTGCCATGTTACACTTGTTTATGATTTTAATATCCTCTCGCTGTCACGTATACATATACCTTATTAGTAGTATTGTGTACATATTAAACCTTAGATTAGTAGAAGTAGAACCTAGCATGTTATTTATACCAATCTTCAACACATTCTGTACTTATTGCCCTTGTCAGCTTGCCCTGTGTATGAACTTGCAATAAAGATTATTATCATTATTATTAGTTATCAAAAATTAATGTTGTCGAGGGAAGATCCCAGACAGGCCATTATGGCTTTTTATCTCTCCCTCACATCCTCTTTCGTTGTTTTTATGTTCACTTTATTACTTTTTCTTTGATTATCTGCGAATAAACAAACATCAAACATCATGGATGTGTTTCTTCCTGCTGTGCTCAAATGTTCCTCATATTTCCCAGCATGCAGTGATTTCCTGACGTGTGACAGCTGTGTGACGTCAGAGATCGGCTTCAACTGTGGTTGGTGCAATGTGTTACACAGGTGGGTAACATTTATGTAACTTGAAACTTATTCAAATTAGCTGTAAGTATGTCTAGCATCAAAGTACCTGATTAAGCAATCTTCGTTGTTTGTAGTATACGTTGATTTTAGGATGATTGTTTTCACGCACACGCACGTACGCACGCACGCACGCACGCACACACAGACACAGACACACACAGATACACCAGACACACACACAGACATACACACACACGCGCGCACGCACACACACACAGACAAACACACACGAGCGCGCGCGCACACACACACACACAGGCACACACACACACACACAAAAACGCACACACACAGACACATACACACACGCACGCACGCACACGTACATGTACGCACACACACGTGTACATTTTAGTTCAAGCTTGTCAATTTTGGTCTATAGGCAGTGTCTCTCAAATGAAACAGTGCTGCATTAATGGTCTGGGCAATTGGCATGGTAAAGAGTGTTTCCCGCGGTAACGGTCCATTATAGTGCAAAGTGATACAAAGTAAGTACCTGGTTTTAACAGGACCCCTTACAGCTATACCCAATGTTTCCCTCTAAATTGGCAATGTGTATTGGCATGGTCGTTGGAATAAAGAATGCATGTATTGCACAATACGATCGATCATGTAATACATGTAAGATTGATGGAATCTCTTTGCCCCTTTCAATGATTTTGCCATCCAATTCTTAGAGAAGTGTTTTCCGATAGCGGACTACTTCAAACAACATAAAAGAGATCGTTATGTTGGGAGAACAAACCCGTGTTTCTATTCGGCCATAGATCAGAATTGTAACCACCACTGGTCGCCTCAAATACATATGCCTCAAGGACGGTCGAACAGCATGTATTACAATGGCAGTTCAGTAGTGTGTGTGATAGATTTGGTTGAACATCTTTGCAGTAGAACTGCTTTCGAAGATTAGAAGTTCGCCTCAGTAAAGCCCCTGTCACACATAGCTGAATATGGCCTCCCGAACTCTCCATAACCATGGTTAGAAGTAGGTCGGCTAGTGTTCGGTCAGGTCGGCTACCTTTCGACTCCGCCAGCCGAATGTTTCCAAATATCTAAAATATACAATATTATCAACATTGAAGTACATCAAAGACATAGTCCACTTAAGATCCAACATGAGGCGGTCCTTCTCATGCATAATTCTACGTACAGTCGCCCATGTTTACATCTTTGTCGATCGTGCAGTAGAACTGCTTTCAAAAATAAGAAGTTCGCCTCTGTCACACATAGCGAACTCCCAATAACCATAGTTAGAAGTAGGTCGGTTGGTGTTCGGCCAGGTTGGCTAGTTTTCGGCTGCGCCAGCCTAATGTTTCAAAATATTTTACGAATATAACATCGAAGTTAGGTACATCAAAGACATAGTCCATTTATGATTTAAAAAATGAGGCGGTCCTTCTCATGCATTATTCTACAGTCGCCCATGTTAACTATGTGTTGTGACAAGACAAATTGCTTCCGTTTTCAATTTACAAAGATTATCCGGATTGAATGTGAGAGGATTGATGGTAATCCTGACTCGGTTGTGGATCAGCGACGCCGCTTCCTTCGTGCATCTTAAGTAAGACCCTGCGTCTTGCCTTCACCTCCTGGCATTTCTTAAGATAGTCTTTAAATCCGCAAACCCGTGCGGCATTTGCTCTTGAAGATGCCGGCTTTGGTGTTGAGGAAGTGCGTGCGTGGAATAAACATGGCGACTATTCCATCCGCTCTAGAACATACATTCCCGGACACTTCCCGGAAAATGCTTCAGTCTGACCCACGTAACAACCTAATTACATCCGCAGATTACTGTATAACAACTTGCAGTAAATCACGATACGTACAAGACCTAAGCACCGCTATCATATAAAAATCCCTAACCCCTCCGTAAACCCTTATTGGGAACTACATCCGGCAATTCTCCGCACAGTGGCTCCCTCGGGTCATCCCGCTCCCCGTTATACTAAAGTTATGACATTCATCGTCGTGAATTCGTCCATAAAGCCACTTTGGGAAGGTCGGAGATGATCCTTTGATGTTAAGGAGACCGATTCATCATGTTTGAACGGTGTGACCTCGCCGGTTTTGCATAGCTTTGATTAGCAGGTTCCATTGTGCTCGTTAACCCTTTATAAAGCCTTATTCATCAATCTTAGTATTCTTTGCAGCGGCGGGAAAACGCCGTATGTAGATGTAGTTACGCCTTGCAATTACTTGTCTTAAATGTGTATATCTTAACTACAGTCGTTTTGGACAAATGCAATGTAAAATCATTTATTCTTACTAAAAATGTATGATCTTTTTTACCTGTTGTAGAGTTGTAAGTAAACTTTAGTTTAAATCTTGTATAGTCAGCAGTTACCGATAGAAACGTTTTATAGAATATTCAATAGGTGATGTTACGAGGCCGTTAAAAGTCAGTTCCGTTTCACATGGAATCTCCAGGGTCTTGTATAATACAGTAATTGTGTAAAAACTGTAATGCCACCCAGATGTTAGCATCACTGGCATGACTGCCATATAGCCGTAAGGATTCTATTTAAGGAGCTTCTATAACCAAACAAAGGAAGTCATGAAATCACCGGCGTGCTCTATAAAAGGGAGAGGGTGCAGTAAAGTGCCTTTATAAATCGGCTTCTGTTTAAAGTTCAGTGGAGTGGATTCAGACGTGCTGTTCACTAACCTACATCGTGCTTCTTTGGAGAGCCATAAACCCCAGTCTACGCTACGTTTTTATGAAACACTGGTCATCTTAATATATATGACAAATGCATGGCCTTTCAATGTGTGTAAAACCTGTAAGCCCGACTACATGTTATTATCAATGTAACGACTGCCGTATAGCCCCACTTATTCTTTTAAATAAGCGTCTGAAAGCAAATAAGGAAATCCGTGAAATCTTCACTGAGCTCCATAAAAGGCAGGGAATGTCGTAAAGTTTATGTATCAAATCCCACCAATGATTGTAAAAGCTCATCCTTATCCCGTACAGCATAGTCTTTTGTGAGGTGGATTAGTCTATTTGTATGTTTGGTAATAGATGCTACAGGTTGTATCTTGTATACATTTTGTGTCATAAAGTTGTACCTTGTATACATTTGTGTCATAAAGTTGTAGGTTGCTAATTATCTACCTCTACATAAAGACCAGCGAGTTAGATACGGAATTGGGAATCAGCATTTTATTTTCTCTATTACCCTACTTTTTTACGTTTTATGTAACAGAGGCTAGGATATAAAAAACGTAACCATTCAAAATAGTAACAAGTTTAAAATTGGACCGTCCGAGCTTTGGCTTTGAAAAGAGAAAAACGGTTCTGCAAATTAAACATGACCAGTATAATAGTTCTTTATGAAGGGTGATACCAGGTTCACAGTATCTCTTTTCAAGATGACCAGTCTTGTAAATTTATGATGAAGGGTAATGTTATGTCCACAGTACGTACTTTTATCAAGTTTATCATGTAGTTAAGGACTTTCTCTCCAAAAGAATCAACATAGAATTTTACCATTTGTACTATACTATTATACGGTTCCTATTAGTTTTCTCCCAGCATTATATGACCCCCCCCCCCCCCCAAAGCCTGTAGAATTGGACTGGAGTAGTATTTTGATTAAAAAAAAACATTAACTATTGACTGTTGTTGGTTCCAGGTGTTCCGACGGACTGGACCGGCTGCGCCAGGAGTGGGTAGCCGCGAGCTGTGACGATCAGGTACGGTCAAGTGGAGGTCCTATTCTTACGTTCGTTAGAAGGTTACGTATTAGGTATACCGATACTGTATAGGGGTTGTAGATTTTCAACCGTTAATAATGTGGTGCATGTATCTTGATGATATTTGGGTTGGGACAACAAAGGATACCAACACCAAGAAAACAAACACAAATAACAAATAAACGACGAAGGTAGGAGATTTTTGACCTCTAGTTCTTCATCGAAACGACAAAGATCTCTTGGCATTGCACTTGAGCTTGGTATCCAAGTTGTTATTCCGTCTTTTATCTTTCTTTAAAAAAATCACGGTGATGTTGTCACATCGGCGCACCAAATCGGTAAGGTGTTTTTGGCATCCTGACCAGACAGAATAGCCTAAGAGGCTCGGTGGGCGTCACTCCACCGTATAGGTGGGGAAGTCGTGTAAAGTGCCTTTCCCAAGGGCACAACATCGGGCCACGGTGAGTATCGAACCCGGGACCTCTCGGTTCCGAGTCCAACGCTCTAACCGTTGCGCCACCGACGCCACACTTGCCTTTCTTAACTCAACAGAAGTGTGTCCCTTGCATCGAATGGATGTCTAACCTTCATCGAGATGTCTTAGACCATATGTTTGTTCCTTCCTTGTGTCAGAGTGCAGCGCGGACCATCTGTGACGTGGAGGACCCTGTAACCACCACCAGTGCCCCGCCCCTGCTCCAGGTGCCCGCCAGCACCGCCAAACCGCTAGCCACGCCCACGGCGTACTCAGCCGTCACCAACCATACTGTAGTCAGGAGCAACAGTCAAGTCCTGCAGACACCGGTGCTTCACAATGATCACAACCCTGTAACAGGTACGCTGTTTTCTTCAGAGTCACTATTCAGGGTATCACTGCGCAGAAAAATTTAAATTTACCAACGTTAGTAAATGCCAGTAAAGTCGGGTAATATAATTTTGACCTTAGAGAGGTCAACAAAGTGCACTATGTCCTGATTACCCACCTAAACCTCTTGCGGCACAGGATACCCGACTGTCGGTCTAAGATGCCTTCGCTTATGAAATACTCCAAATTTTCAGCACGAATTTGAATTATGGCGTTCTTTTTTAAATTTCGTTTTTATTTCATTTCCCACAGGCAAAAAAGAGCCGAAAGGGACGGTGGATAACAGCACGACCCGCCAAAGAATATTGAATAAGGACCTGGAGGCTGTGAAGAGCGTGGTGGGCAGCCCCATCAAGGGCAGCGCCATGGAGTTCAACAGAAGAAAAATACGGATGGAGATCATCATAGGTAACAATATCATATCATCTCAGTACTGGTTATTAACAATATGCATTGTACATAACAATATTAGTAGCAACACCTAACTTCAGTGCACAGTGAACAAGTAACTCTTAGATGTAGCTTCAGTGCACAGTGAACAAGTCATAATTACCCTGATGAAGATAACAGACAGTTGTCGAAGTTGTTGTGTATTTTTTAAAAAATTGAAATTTGCTATTGACTCATCCCAGGCATCATCGTGGCAGTAGTGGTGGTGGTAGTCGCTCTAGCCTGTATCATACACACGTATTCCCGCAAGTCATCCAGGTCCGGAGTTCTTGTTGTTCAGGTAATTATCTTTCATGGGAAGACTAGGGGTCTTTATTAAGCAGAAATGGTCACCAGTACATGCTGGATATGCAAACTGTGATAGTGTGTTGTTGTTTTGTACTGCACTACAACAAATGTTCTGTAGTCTACTGAACTGCAACTATAGTGCCCCGTGCTTAGATCTGTACTACACTGTAGTACTAGTGATGTGCAGTTTTTAATTGCTCTATTTGGCAGTATTCTGTAGTTATGTAGCCAGAAATCAGTATTCTGTAGTTCTATTCTGCACTATGGCAATGTCGTGTGATTCTATACCGAATGATAGATTGTAGAAGTGTAGCTGTATCTACAGAACAGTGGTCTTTTTAGAGTTCTCCACATGTGCACAGAACAGTGTTTTGTAGTTCTATTCTGCTATGTAATAATGTTGTGTGATTCTATACTGAACTGAAACAGTGTTTCTCTACACCTGAGTTTTCAGGTCAACGTCCTGAGGTGATGCTCCTGTCGTCAGACAAAGTGTACTTTGCACCGTGAGGCCGGGAGTCGGGGGGCGTCGGGACAGGTATGGGACAGCCAGGACTCTTAACATTCAAGGCGTCCAATGCAATTTCAGGATGGCGAACAGGATTTTCATTGTCAATTTTCTGGTCTTTCGTCTAATGTAGTAAGGCCATGTTGATTTGATTAAATGGATGCCATCCCCTGGGAAGCCCAAAGCTGATGCGAGCGTGCAAATAAAAACGTTTGGCAAAATAAAGTTGTATTCATTATGAAATGTAGGTGGTCAATGAACAAATGACTAAACGCACAGAATGTGTTATGGCGAATAATAGACTCTTCATTTTCATCCCTTCACATTTTCTAAAAGTAGAGTGCAAAGAATGTACTGTACCTCGCCATGTATTTACATGATACGTTTGCTGATACATGTGGTTTTATTTCTGTTCCAGACTTTTTTTCTTACCGCCGGACGGACGTCACACTATGTGTCATGTGGAAGACATTAAGAGTCAAACTTGTACAGCCATAAGCTCTAACCTACCTGTCGCCTGGAGACGGTTATCTGGAGACGGTTGCCTGGAGACGGTTACCAGGAGACGGTTACCTGGAGACGGTTGCCTGGAGACGGTTACCAGGAGACGGTTGCCTGGAGACGGTTGCCTGGAGACGGTCGCCAGGAGACGGTTGCCCTGACGGTTGCTTGGTAGCTGCTCTGTGAGAATTTACGGTCGCACAATGCCGCTAAATTGAAAAAGGCCCCGCCGGACTCCACAGACCACAATTGGACCGTTTTCAATTGCTCCATTACCTTGATTTGTGTACATAAAACAGACACGGATGGGTCATTTCTCAACATGATGGGAAATTCAAAAACTCTAACTTGACTGTGAATCTGTAAATAACGTGAGATAGCAGGAACTAAAGGGGATCTGGAATACCTGCAATCGTTGATTAAATTTGGCCTTGAATTTTGTGGTGTTGTGTGTAAGGATATGAAGTATTGATGTAGACACCAACTTGTGCATTGTTGTATAACAAAAGACGAATACCGTACGTGGCACAAGTCTAAATCGTGTACATCTATCTTAATCGTTGTAACTTGAAGACTATTATTACCTGTGACCCATGACCAATTTACCTTATTCTACGATTATGGCTGGATCCGTGTAGAGTAAGTTGAATATTTCACTGCGTTAAGGTTCACCAAGAGTCATGAAAGCTGCATTCTCACCTGTATCTCCGCTCTGAGACGCTATGTGGCACTGTCAATTCATCAACAAAAGGCTGTGACGCTGGGACCTTTGATAATTGACCAATCGTTGGACGGCATTTGTACCTGCGACATGTTGTGTCTTCTTTCATTCTTTACACCGGATTCTGGTCAACAGCCTGTGCAGTTAGAAAGTCTAGTAATGCGGTGAAAACCTATATTGCCAGTCGTACACTGTCTAAACAGGACTAGCCGATTCATCTTGAGAACAAGATCGTTTTGTCCTTGAGAGTTCGCTGATCATGAGACTTTGGCAGGATCGAACGCCTTCGGTTCGCGTTGACCTTCACAACAAGACCATTACTCACCCGGATAGCGCCGGCTTTGACTGGGACAACATTACCATATACAGGCACATACCCTTGGGACGGTGTCCGCCACGTCCTTGGTGAGATTGATCGCATTTTGGGACCCTGTTCGCTTTTGAGTTTTACAACGCCATCTGTCATTGGATGCGACTTTGAAACGAAAGACAAGTGGCCCTTGGGACAGCGTCCTCTGTGACCTTGGGAAAATTGAATGCATATGTCTGGGTGACCTTCACAAGAAGTTCGTTTATCTTTGGGACGGTTTCGCCAAGACCTTGGCTTATGTTGACACACGCTGTGAATAAAGTTCTTTCTTTTTTAACATCGTGAGTTTATTAATGTGTCAGCTGGCTATACTGGCAGTTATACCGGCTATACAGATATAGAAGCTGGTGTGTTCCACTGTAGGGTGGTTATACCGGCTATACAGATACAGAAGCTGGTGTGTTATTGCACAAAGCAATTATACCAGCTATACAGATAAAGGCAAAGATTCCTTTGTGGCTGCCTTTGAGGATATCTTTGGAAGCAGCAATACCATAACTACATTAAATGGTGTTCAATTTGGGGTATACTTAAAGGATTACAGACAGTGAGGCAACAAATTCAATGACTTGTTAAGCGCAACCATATTTCTGCAAAATGCTTCCAAAAAACGCTCACTCCTTATTATTTGGCACGAGGGTTTTGAAATTGCTTTTCTGTAATCTTCAGAAGACTCCTTGTGAGATTCTACTGAATGTCCTTGGACCTATTGTGTCTTCACTAAATTCTATAACATGTACATATAGTGCAGGGTTGCAGGGGGTTTTCACTGTACTTATTGTATAGTATTGAGTATGATCAAAAACTGGATACTATGAAAGGGCTTCATTGGACCCCTGCAAAAAACACAAGTGCACAAAAGCCAATAGCATATATCAATTATCATGGTAATTATCATCAAAACGAACCAGAACATTGCAACAGCAACAGAATCAAACACATTTAGCTTTTATATATATTGCATTGTTAGCCTTCATTAGAACTTGGTACATCTTGGTACAAATGTATTGTACTTCCTGATTTTTCTTTTTCTTCCTTTTGCAAATAAACTTCAAATGCCATGCTGTTATGCCTACATATACATATATACATACAATTTGCTTGCTTTTTTTCTGTTGTTATCACAGAAATCTCTGTAGTCGTGATATTTCTTATTTTTGCAATATTTTTAGATGTTGGGGCCATTCGCCACGAAAAGTGCAATGGGTCAAATTTGGTGCTTCCAATCCTTCCTGTCATTTTGAAAACAAAAAGGTTCTTTATAGATGAGCCCAATGTGAAATTTTGCTGTGCAAAATCTTGACAATTTTTACACAATTCCATGCCTCTTATGTATATATTACTTCAATAGACAGTGACTACATCTTACATCAGCTCTATAGCTCTATATTGCATTGCTGAATGCATGGTCTAAACCTACACACCCTACTGCACTTCATAGCTGAACTGCTAGGTGGCAGTTTTTACGCTGCATCATCTCTTGAGCTTTTCCATGTCTTCGATAGTGGCCAGGAGTCGTTGTCTGGCCTTCTTGTTGATATGTGATCCGACTCCACACGTGACCAGTCCTGTCAACTGTTTGGTGGAATATTCCTAAATGGAAATGGAAAAAAAGATAAACATCATTTAAAGGTACATGTGCATAATGATTCATATTCAGTCAAACCTGCCTATCCTATCCACCTGTCTACTGGGACTATTTTATGCATGTGCCTTGTGAGAAAAAATCTGTAAAATCACGGATTCCACTGTAATCAAGCAACGTTATGACCGGGGCAGAAAGAGGCTACATTCACAGCATTCTCTCATGAAATATTACTTCTACAATACAAAACATACTACCATGTGTCCACCAATCCCTAGGTCAGATTCTAAGGTAAAAAGGTCAGAGTTCAAAGGTACTGACCCGGTGGTCCCTGATCCATCTCTCCATGTCTGCGTCTGTCAGATAGTAGGCTTTGACATACACCTCCACAAACTCACGGTCAGGAATGGGTCTACGTATACGGTGAAAAAAGAAACAATTTTTCATGGTGAAAAAACAAACCACAGTAGGACAGTGCAAACTCTCTTCATCATTACACAGTCTAAATACCAGCGTCTAAGTCCTTCCATATAGCAACAGCTTCTTTCCACAGACTGAAAAAATATGGACATTTCTCCATGACAGGTGATTCTGTCTCATACACACCCCACAAGCTCTCAAAAGCAACATTCACTGTCATCTCCTTGCATAGACACCAATACATTGTACCTCCCACCAATTTAGCTCAGTGTCCATGCAAAAGTGCCTTGCAAACTCCTTGAAAAGAAATGTATTTTACACCCATGTAGATTCTGACCTGAGATCTGTGAGTTTCTCCAGCTTCATGAGGAACTGTTGGAAGTCCAGCTGCATCAGAGCTCGCCCCTCGTTACTGCACTTCTTCGCACTCGCAAAACTAAAAAACAGAGAAAAGAATAATGAAGAGAATTCAAGATCTACATCACAAGGATACGTCCTTTTGAGACACAAAAACAAATACATCATGAATGCTTTTGTCTGACATCAGAAGTATTTCCGTAGTTCTGTCAGTTTTTTTTTTCAGTGGCGCTGAAGAAGAGTGATAGATGTCACTTAAAATGTCCATAAAAACAATTTCCGTAATTTATCAAGTAGTAGAGTTTGAATTGTCTTTTACAATTGCCCAGCTTTGTTTGCCTTCACAAACATGTAACCTTTCCCTGTTAGCTAAAACTCAGAGACTGCAAATTTAAACCAAGCATTAAAACGTTAAAAACGTTGACATCTTATCCAACTCACCCCTCCACAAAAGTCCTGTTGGCCAGTCGGATGCAGTGTTCCCACAGGACATTATACACAGGCTGGGGGATCGGTACATGTCTGGAGACAGGAAAGAAGTCATCACGTGATGGGTCAGATAGCTGAAGTGGACTAAGCCAGTAAGCCATTTAGTAAAAAATTCCACACTCACACTTACTGTACTATCCAGGCTTTAACTATTTGATTATTACCGGTATCAGCTCTAGTAGAAAATTCCATTGAGTTCTTTTTTTTTTTACTTTGAGAACAGCACATGCCTTAATGCAATGTGACATTATCGTTGAAACATCTTTGTCACAAGGGAGGAAGAAAAATGTAAAGTTACCTTCCAACTTGGTCCAGTTTATTGCTGAAAACTTGTAATTCCTGCATGGACACAAAACACAGATCAGTCATCAAAATACGAAACAATTTCTTCCAACATCACATTTTTAGAATTTAAAAAAAAAGACGTATAATGAGAAATGAAAAAAATGGTCAAAGATTAATCATTTTCAACATGCATATTTTTTGTGTATTTTATGTGTATTTCCCCATTGTAAAGAATGTCTCCAGTGATGTTATTTGTAATTTCAAAATACTAGTACCCTAAGTAGCACATCCACATATGAGCTGTGTTGAGACATGATGTCTTTGATGTCCCACTTCACGTTGGCCATCAGCTGAAGGATGTGGTCATAGACAACCGACTTGGCTGCAACAACACGGTACACCGGTCTACGCAGCTCCGATGCTGTACTGATGGTCTGTAAACAACAATAAACAATAAATAAACAAGGTTAGCTATCAGATGAAGGATGTAGTCATAAACAACAGACATTGCAGCTACAACTCCGTAGGTTATAAAATTGTGTAAAAGCCATAGTTGTAAAGGTTTAAGATGCACAGTATGGACATGCACACACACAGTGAATGTTATCTATCCATTTCTTTCTTAACTACAAAGAACAGCCTGAGAAAAGGCCACAACATTACAGTAATACCTGAGAGTAGAATTGCTGCAGAAATGCCTTCTTAGCAGGAGGAATGACAGACTCCAGTTGGGGCTGCAGGAACTCAAACTGCTCTGCTAGGAACACTCTGCAAATGTTTATAACATATTAACATTCTAGTTTTGATCAGGGCTTGGGTTAAGACATATAGGAGATAGGAAGACCAATCACTCAAATCTGAGACACCTCTGTTTGTCCCTAACATTAGTGTCTTACAATGACAAGCAGTTACACTACACCTGTCAACATATTAGAGTCAAAATGTAGTATCAAGGGATTTCATGAAAATGGTCACAGTAAAGTACAAACTGTGTCACATTCTAGATGAAAATCATAGACACCATTATGCCTGGATGTGTAACCTTCACCGACATGCATGCATTGTTACAAACACATGAATTATAGCACTAATAGAGGTAATAACACTTACAGAGACTCTGTAGCGACGACCCTCTCAGCCAGTCCATACAGGTTCTGATTCCCCGTCAGGTCCACTACAGGAGACACGTGGGGGAACGGCACCTTGTCCTGGACAGGAGAAACATAAAAAAAGTCTTAACTTTTGTAAAAGCAATGCAGGACCAAAACAACAACAGGATAAAATGTGTTATTGATAAGATAAAATGTGCAGCATGAAGGACTACTTGGCCAAAATGTTGCATAGAATCTAAACAAACTACTTACTTCATCCAGAATCTAGAGGGGCAGCGAAGACAGTGGGAGGTAAGCCAAGCTTAATATCAGTATGTGCTTTTAAAGGTACAACACTTCTAATGTCTGTTAAGCAAGGAAATACAGCATTTGTAAGACAACATTTGCTAATAATTTGTTCTTTTGAAAGAAAAGTACTCTCACCTTCCTCTCTTCTACTTGTTGCACAGGTTGTTGTAGGTTTGGCATCATGGAGTCCTAAAGAGAGGAAAAACAACTTTCAACTGTGGCAATGATAAAAAAATGTCTTTTAGATAAAATAATTTCTCTAACTTAATCAAAGAGCAGTTTTAAGGGAGAGATATATTTTCACATACCTCAGGTAGAATGAGGTTGTCATTGATTCTTTTTAATGTTGTTTTCAGTTTGTTACTCAAACCCCAGTCAGCAGCAGCACTCTGCAAACGGAAAGATACAGTAAAGAACTGAGACCACACCAATATCATATAACAGATCACAAAACCACAGTGACTGTAAATTTTGCAATAGGATGCCATTTGTCACAAAAGATTCAAGATTCATCGACATTGCAGCAGAACCACTGAACTACATTCAATTTACAATTTGAGTTTGAAAACAATTTGCAACAAACAAATGGCAAAAAAAAAAACTTACCATGTCCAAGTCTGTTGCAAAGAAGGAGTACACCTGCATGTAATGAAAAGATCCTTGTAAATTTCAAACTGGGAAACTTTTTTTTGTTGTTTAGCTGTCAACATGCTGGTGCAATTTTGTGTGTAAACAGTAGAACCCAATGTTTATTGATTTTACATATTTGGGAAGCATGTCGTAAAAGAATCATGAGACGACTTACAGAGAAGAGCTAGACTAGTAGTCTAACAGTTGGGACACACAGATGTGTGCGAGTGTGTAACTTTACGTACTATGTACTATACATGTACAGTACTTACAGAGAAGAGGTAGTAGTCAAACAGTTGGGACATACAGATGACCACGTCAAAGGCAATTGGCTTGAGTACATTCATCATTTGCATGTACTTGCCTGTACAAAAAGGAAAAACTGTGTTAAACAATCATTTGATGGAACTTAATCTCCTAAAAAGAGCAAAATGTATCACAGTAACTGTTTACTAATATGTATATTCATTAATAGCTGTTATCATACAGGTTGTTGTGGCTAAGATTTGGAGCTTTTCTGTTGCACATACATCAAGGACTTTTAATGATTTTACCAAAAAGCCGGAGCACATTCAGTGTGGTGTTGGTCAGGATCGGAGCATTGTTAAACTTCCGGCTCTTGTCATACTTCTTCTTGGAATCTCTGGAAACAAAACAGAACAACATTTACCTTTTAATCTACTATATCACATGAATATAAGTACTTTGGGAAAGGCACTTTTTCCCTTCATCACTCGACTGAGTACCTAACTTTGGTTAAGGATGTCCTCTCGCCAAGCCCGTTTTTGAGGACAGTCACGTTAAAAAATGTTGAATTATTATATGAGCAGGTGGCCTTCCCAGTGTGAGTGGATCAAAATTTATTGTCCAGTCTTAAACTGCCTGTCCTTAAAATCTGTACAAAACTGTTGTGTTACGTCTAAATACAGTATGCCTGTTTTGTCCTACAAGTACTTTCAGTATGTTTTGCCATATTGTTTTGTTTCTTGTATTATTTGTATGTTTTCAATGTGTTCTGTGTCTAGGGCCTGACTGCTGAGCTACCCTGGCTACCCTGAAAACAGAAATAAATTAATTAATTAATAAAAAAGACCAACCTTCTGACAGGAGCCTCCCCAGTTTTCTCATCCACAAAGTCTTGTTTCAGCTCCTCTGGTACATCACTATCATCACTGTCATCATCAGCATAGGCATTCTGTTCTTTCTCCTCATCATCATACTGTAGAAATATAATAGGGACAGGATAAACCATCACACAACAAACATGTACATGTATCATGGATGTTCATCTGTGTTGGTATAGTAACTGAAAAATGGATCCTTGTGTACCCTTGTGTTGAAATGAAGTTCAGCAGTGTACTATGTGCATTTCAATCACTGAGACTTTTTCACAAATTGAATAGTTTCAACTACAAACTGGCAAGGGCCAAGATGATTATTTAGTAATAAATGAATGATTATTATGTTTTCAGGTGACTATACCTCTAGATTGTACTATGATAGTTTCTAACAAAATAATTTTGTAACAATTTTGTTCTGACACCATTGTATTATTTTACTACATAGACTCCAGGAAAAATAGTAATGGACATCCAGATAAACACACAAAAAAACAAACAAACAAACAAACAAACAAACCCCATTGGTCGCCATGACGTCTTCCCCATCGTCCTCATCCTGGTGCACATCAAACGGGTTTCCATGGTTCCCGTACCGGATGAAGAAGCCCTGCGGAGCGTCCCTGGTGTCGGCTGGCCTGTCCCTGGTGTCGGCCAGCTTGGCAGGTGAGCTCTGAGGACTGGACATGGTGGACGACAGCTTCAACTTCACCAGCCCTGACCGACGCAGGAACTTAAACTCCTGGGGAGAGGACGGGCACAACATGTAGTTTTTTTAAGACCCAGGTGAAGACTAAGTGACAACGGCAGAGTGCTTGACTCGAACCAAGAGGTCCTGGGTTCGAGTCCTGACATGCCAGGGTTATATCAGTTGATCATATTCTCCACCCAATGACAGTCTTATCTTAACAAAAAGGCTATTATAGCACTTCCTCATAAATTATGCAAATGAGGTCATTATTTGAATAAATTATGTTTATTGATGTTCGCCTTCACTTAACTTCCAAATGTGGCCAGTATGAAATTCCCAGTAGTTACAACTATGAAATTATAAAAAATTGCCATTAATTATGCAAATTAGGTCTTCATTTACATAGTCTTTATCCTCAGATGTTTCTTTTTAATTCTCAATTACATGTCACAAGTGTTTCATAGTCCTATTATCGAACAAAGCAGATTTATAGAATTTCCTCATTAATTATGCAAATTAGCTCCTGATTTGCACAACTGTCATTTGATTATGTCAAGCATCCCTTCAGCTACCTACATACCAAAAATCACGACAATCCGTCAACCGGTTCTTGAGTTATCATCCTTCGAAAATTTTTCAACAAATGCTCCTGCAGTTCCAGAACAAAACGCTAGGGGGCCCAAACTCATGTCACTTCTTCCCTACCTCAAGAGCTATCTACCAACTAAAATTCGTGACCCTAGCATGTCCAGATCGCGAGATATCAAAACCGGAAGTTCTGCTGCAGTACCAACAAAAGCCGCCAGGGGGCCCAAAATCTAATCATTTCTAGGTCTCATCAAGACCTACCCACCTACCAACTTTCATGACAATGCATACTAATCTTCTTGAGTTATGCTGTTCACAAACAGACAGACAGACAAACGCTACTGAAAACATAACCTTCTTGGCGAAGGTAATGAGTACATGTATTGTCTGTCCTGTATTTGTTTCTATGTGTGGGACACAACACCAGCAACAGCTGCCTGTGTCCGTGTATTGCACTGTTGCAATTTCAATAAACAAAATCAATCAAATAGAAAGATGGATGGATGGAAAAAGTTGAGTGGCTAGGCTAACAGATACAAAATTGAAAGGTCAAGGATATTCTTGCCTAGACGTTATGTCCTAGGAAAATGCACTTCATTCCTTTTTAACAGATTCTCTCATTCCACCCAGGTATGAAATGGGTAGGTAAAAGGCTGTGGAAGGAGAGGGATGGGCCCTGCCAGCCAATACCAAATTGCACTAGACACTGTGGCTCAACAACCTACTGCCCCTACAGCCTCAAAGGCTAAGGCACTACATGTACTACTTTTTGTGAATACCATAACCAGTTTGAGCTCCTTTTTCTTTTAGAAAAACCACCTGGAGATTAAGGATGGTGAAGTTGGACTTGACAGGACAGAGTTCCCAGGCTTCATTCTCCAGGAACATCCTCAGCTCGTCCATTCTCGAGCGGTGGTAGTTCTTGAAGTAGTTGATGCTCTGCTTTCTTATTGAGTCCTGCAGACCTTCCGACTTACTGTTGCAGAACTCTTCACCAATCAGCATCAACCTGGGAATGCAAACAACCAATCAGCATCAATCTGGGATTATAAACAACCAATCGGCATCAACCTAGAGCTGTACACAACCAACCAGCAACAAGCTGGGAAGATAACCAACCAATCAGAATTGACCTCAGAAAGTAGCCAAACAGTCAGTATCAACTACTAGACATTGTCCAATACTGTGTTATTAATGAGTTAAACACTTCTTCTTTAATGAATTTTATATGATTTAAGAGGCCTCACTTGTTGACAAGGTCAAGAACATGGAGGAAGTCGTCAAACTTGAAGACAGAGAGGTCCGTGCCCAGCAGATACAGCTTCACTTTCTGTTGTACATCCTGGGGGAGAAAAGTGCATTAAATTTGTTACTACAAAAAATAGCATGCTTCCTTAACTAGTACAAATGTAGGTGTAAATACATTGTTTGAATACATGTATGTGCAGGGAGGAAACTTCGGAAAAAGTGCAACGATGCCCTGCTGCCATAGTTACCTGCCAAATGCGAGCCAGCCCATGCTCCAGCTTCTGTTTCACATATCTCTGGTTAAAGGTGGCTTCTATGTTAATGGAACTGGTGGCATCTGTAGGGACAAGACACGTAAAAAATGACAAACTAGTTTGACTTCTTAGTCTAACATATAGGTGGAAGTGGCATGTCTATTATATATATGTGCATAAACCACAAGAAGTTTGAAAATAAGTATCGCAGGTATAGCACCTATAGACTCTGCACTTTTCCAATTAGATACAACTTCACTATCACTCTTAGTTGAAGAAAAGTCAGATCTGCATGTAAATCTACAGTAAAATAGTTACTTAATCTAGTTACAACATATAGCAGTACCTGAAGCACTGAACTGAAGGCCTATGAGTGTAGCATAGTGTCAGCAGGAGAAACAGGTAGTTAGAACATGTAATAGGGAGAATCTGAAAGTTATTAATACTAGTAATTGATTTGACAGCAATCAGCAAAGTATCTATTAGATTTCATTAAATAAGTTTGCAAAGCTCACAAAAATTCATTCATCACCTGTGATTCACCCTACAATTTCCAACAGAAGAAACTGCAGTTACCAAGAGAAGAGATCAGACTTACGCAAATTTTCAACTGTACAACTCCAGTCTTTGTCAACGAATAAGCACTCCACTTCTTCTGTGACCTCTTATGCAGATAACAAATGACTGGAGTTGTACAGTCAAAAATTTGGGTAAGTCCAATCTCTTCTGTTAGAAATTACAGTTCAAACTTGCTTCATACTGACTTCTACCATGTATGTTCAAGATAGTTTGACGTGTTCATTGGTTCATTTTAAACATTCGAACCTGCTTCTGCTGCCTCCTGATTGGTGGAGTCGTGCAGCTCGTGCCACTGCATGGTCTTGTGGTAGCTGTTCATCACGCCCCACAATGCCTTGCACAGGTCCATCAGACAGGGGATGTAGCTCTCTGTGATGATGTGCTGAAGGGGGAGGGGGGCACCACAAGGTCATTGTACAAGGTCAAAAAGTCTATTAAGTTATCATTTTAGAATTAGAGAGTGGTACATGTACATATGTCATGTGTTTTATAATTTGACAGAGAAATATTACGTGGATGTGTCAGAGGTCAATGGTGATATGCTAAAGGGGGAGGGGGCAAGGACAAGGTCATTACAAGGTCAACTATACTTTTAAAACTTTTAGACATTGAGAGTGACTAATCAGAGGTCTATATACGTTAAGCAGGTGGAAGGTCACAAGAAGGTCAAATCAGCTACCAAGTCAATAAATGAAAAATAAACCATGTATTACTGCAATCTGGAGTATCTAACTACAGAATTCATTTTCCTGAATATTCTGATTTTACATGACTAAGTAAAGGGAGAGCAGATGATGATACACTAGGTAACAATACCAGGTAACTTCTGAAGTATAAGTCAGAAATGAAAGCAGACAGAAGTTTCGAGTGAGTGAGTGAGAGAAAAATGCAGTAACGTCACATACCTTATCCTGTGATGGCACCAAGCATGGAAGGAGATGGACAGGGAATATAAGAATTTTTATAGTCAAACAGCAGATAGAATCATATACATTTTGTACATGATATACAGGAGCACACAGATACACACACATCATACATGTACATAAACAAACAAACAAACAACATACAAACAGAACCACATATCACATCGCAAAAGCAAGAGAAGTCCATCCACTGGAAAACATAGACAGATACAGGGACCAACATACATGTGTCTACTTGTTTTAAAGCTAATGCCTGTGCAGGAATAAGAAATCAGAGAAATGTATTTCACATTACTGTTAGAGTTATGCTTAGTATATATACACAAATCACATTCAGCTTCCATGACAAAGTATATATAATCTAAATCATATTTGTCATTGGTTGTTAATACTCGTCATACAATTTCCATGGATCATACTAGTATAGAGGGCTGTATCACAACCAATTGCTTACAAGGGTCTAACACAGCCTTTTCAGCAACAAAGCAGCTGAATTTTTCAGGACACATGCATACAGAATTATCCCAAGAATGCCTTCCGTTTAGGTTTAATCATGCAACGAATGTATGATGTACATGTATGTGACCAAGCCTGTAGTAAACTGGAAGAGATTATGTACTTACAGTACATAAGTCTTTGTATTGCATTTTCTGGAAGTTGGTGTCCCCAGTCCCCGAGCACAGTTCCACATACCCCAGCACTATCTGGAAGGCTGTGTTGTGGATAGCGCTGGCATAGTGCATGTGTAACTGGTCCATCGCAGTCTGAAAATCAATCCATCAGTCAATGAATCAATCAGTTAATTAGATGCCAAAGTAACAGTTACTCAAGTCACCAGATAGATTTTGAAAACCGATTTTCAAAATCTATCCAGTTGCTAGAGTAACTGTTTGGTATCTTGTTACCTGGATTTTATCATGACTAAAATGGCTTAAAAGAGAACTTAATGGTACATCAGTTACAAAGAAATAACACAGACAAATACTCTGTGTACAGGATATATTGGCTCAATGTAGAGGTAAAACTTACAAAACCATAGTTGATGACGTCCCATCTACATGTGTACAATAAGGGACTGTGGAATCATGTCAGGTCAAAACCCTTAACTTTCTGTTCAAGAAGTACATATAATATCCTACCCTCGACCTTGTTGAAAAGCGGTATGTACCGAACAAGCATTCGAAATTAAATAAAGGCTTACTACTACTACTACCACCTGAGTTTTCCCCAGTAGTCTGTATGCCGTCTGCACTTTCTCATAGTGAGCAGCATCAAAACTGTTACAGGTCTTGGACAGAGCGACATCCAGTTGTTCCTGCACATTTAGAAAGATAGGTGAGAAAAGCATGCGAAAACAAAGTGAATAATGTCAACGCGAGTTTAATACGTCAAATTGGAAACTATTGCACCCACAGATATCTTTCTTTATACAAAGCCTGTAGATTCCTAAAGAGTATGATATCACGTAAAGATCAGCGAGGACCTCTATCATCTCGAGCGTGTCCTGCAGTTTGGAGCTGAGGTCACTGATACAGCTGTAGTGTCTGAAGATACTGGCTGCCTTCTGACACTCCAGACACAGCTGGATAGCTCCGGGGTAATCCTCCTCCTGAAGGAAAGAGAAAAAATCAGATTCTGTCAGATTTTCACATCAAAATTCAAACCACTCTTATATATATATATAGAAGCTCCTAGAAAAGAAATGTGACCATTTCCATGGTAATAGGCTGTATCCATCCAGAAAGACAATTAAGAGTATGTACGAAATATTATGTATAACTCTTACAATAATCTACATGTACATGGAAGAATGGAAACTCACCTCTAGCATTTCTCTCAATCTGACATCTGTTCTTTGCTGTGGAGAAATAAAAGAAACAACTCCAACTTACATGTTTACTTTGAGACATACATGTACATGTAACCTTTCCACAGATTGATCATGAGCTTAACAAGGCTTTCTGCAATCATCGTAGATCTAGTGATAAGAAGAAGTTATCAAGTGTACAATACAAAATCTACTCAAATTCAATAATCTACTTTAGTCGTATTTCTTCAATTAACAACTTGCCATTGTTACATTCTAGTGTCCTGCAGACAGTCCATACATTACCCTGTTCCCAGACAGTCTCCTGTAGACTTACCAGAGTCTTGATGGTCCTGAGAGAGTTCATTAACCCCAGGAGTTGGGAGCGTTTGCGCTGATTGGCCAGCAGGCCCAGACTGGCCGTGGTGAAGCCCTGCTTCGCTATCTCCAGGTGTCTGGAAAACAGCAGGTTACAAAAAAAGTTAAAACTCTATCTTTTGTAACAAGTACTTTAACTAGTGAAAGATACCTTACCTTACCTTACCTAGTCCCATCCTCATGTCTGAGGGTCGGGGACTATGGTGGCATCCAGTATCAGCCTCCTCCACTCTCTCCTGTCTCTGGCCCTGTGAGAGCACTCAGCCAGTGGCATGCCCATCCAGTCACGGACATCGTCGCCCCACCTCCGGCGTGGTCTTCCACGGCTCCTCCTTCCGTTGATCACCCCTTGCAGTATGTGGGTGGTGATATTCTCTGCTCGTGTGGCATGCCCAAAATACTGGAGTTTCCGCCTCTTTATGGTGTTTAAAAGTGTTCTTTCCACTCCCAGCTGTTCTAACACAGAGTCATTTGTGCGGTGGTCCGTCCAGCTGATGCGCAGGATCTTCCTGTAGCATTTCATCTCTAGGGCCTGAATCCTGCGGATGTCACTGGCGTGTAGGGTCCATGCCTCACAACCGTAGGTTACCACGGGCCAGACAAGAGTCCTCAGCACTTTCAGCTTGGTTACTGTCTTGAGGGCCCTGTCTTTCCAGATTGTCTCTAGGCTTCGGAGGGCTGCACGAGCTGATCCTAGTCTTACACTGATCTCGTGGCTGCAGCTAGCGGTTTGATCCATTGTGGATCCCAGGTACTTGAATCTTGGGACCTGTTGTAGCTGTTCCCCCCGGCAGGTGGCCGTTACCTGGGTGGGTGCTTTGGTTACGGCCATCACTTTGGTCTTTTTGGTACTGATTTCCAGTTGGTATTCTCTAGATGTGCTGTCTGTAGAGTCTAGCAGAACCTGAAGATCTTCCGGCGAGGTAGCTATCAGTGCTATGTCGTCAGCGAAGCGGAGGTTGTTGATGACCCTGCCACTTATGTTGACTCCAATCGTGGGATGTTCCTCCACAGATTCCCTCATTACAGCCTCAGAGTAAAAGTTAAAACACATCGGCGACAGCAAGCAGCCTTGCCTTACGCCTTTCTTTACATCGAACCAGTCTGTAAGGTCATCTTCCACTCTCACTGCTGCCTGCTGGTCCCTGTACAGGTTGTGTAGTAACTTGACCAAGTGCCCTGAAACTCCCATAGTTCCCATCACCTCCCATAGGGTTTGATGTCTAACTGAGTCAAAGGCTTTCTTGTAATCAATAAAGGCCATAAAGAGCTGCACGTTGCTTTCCCTTGCTTTTTCCATCAGTACCCTTAGGTTAAAGATCTGGTCCCTTGTACCCACCCTCTTCCTAAAACCCATCTGCTCTTCTGCAAACTCCTGGTCTGCCACTCTCTCCATCCGTCGTAGGAGGATTCGGAGAAGAACCTTACTGACATGGGATATAAGGGCTATGGTACGGTGCTCAGAACAGTCGATGGTGCCAGGCACCTTGGGGATAGTAATGAAGACGGACTTCACCCAGTCTGATGGCCACTGTCCAGTGCTGGTGACCATGTTACAGAGTTTACACAGTAGTCTTGTTGTTGTTGGATTCCCGGTCTTCAGTAGCTCTGCGGGAATGTCGTCTGCACCTGCAGCCTTGTTCTTGGGCAGTCGCTGGATCGCTTCGGCCACTTCTGACTCCAGGATTTCCGGGAAGGTGTCACCTGTGGACGAGCTTGTTTCTTCCTCGTTTGTGCCATGGTTGTCTCCATCATCTGTGGTGTCACTGTACAGCTTCGCACAGTACTCCTTCCATCTCTGCAGTATGCTGTGAAGGTGAGTGAGCACGCGGTTGTCCGCAGCTTTAATGTTCCTCTGTCTAGGTTGAAAACCTCGACGCAGCTTCTTGATGGTGGAGTAGGACTGCCTCAGGGTGCTGTTCCGTTGCAAACCCTGTTCTATGTCCGCACATTGTTTCTCTAGCCATTCTGCCTTGTCCTTCCTTGCTTCTCTCTGGACCTTGCGGTCCATCTCCCTGTAATGTAAGTCACCGTTGGCCGTGGTGCTACGCTGGGTTTTCAGCTCCCGTCTTCTGTCCATAAGGTCCAGTGTACTCTGGCTTATCCATGGGTGGTTTGCTCTTCTGGGAGCTTTACCGAGGGTCGCCGCTGCTGTGGATTTGATTACTTCATTGAAAGCTAAACAGAACTCGTCCGGTGTGCTTTCTTCTTCTAGCATGTTCAGTGCTTCAAACTTGTTGTTGACTTCAACGTTGTACCTTTCCCGCACTGCAGGTGTCTCGAGTGCTGCCAGGTTCAGTTGATTCCTCTTGTTTCTCTGGGCGTTCCGTTTAATCCGGAGCCTCAGGGTTGCGATCACAGCGTTATGGTCTGATCCACAGTCTAAACCAGGGTAGGATCGGCTGTTGATGACGCACTTGCTCCATCTTCTGTTGATGAGGATGAAGTCTATCTGGTTCCTGTACCTTCCCCCAGGTGCCTGCCAAGTGTAGCGTCTTCTTGCGTGGTGTTTGAAGGCAGTGTTTGTAATAAACAAACCGTTGTCCTGACAAAATTCCACTAAGCGCTCTCCACGTTCGTTGGCTGTTCCTAGGCCAAAAGAACCACAGACCTCCCTCTCATCTCTGTCAGCTCCTACTTTGGCGTTAAAATCCCCTGCTACCATCACCATGTCCTGGCTCGGGCAGTCTACCAGTACCTGTTGTAACTGATCATAGAATGTTTCCACTTCTTCATCTGGGGCATCTCCAGTTGGGGCATACACCTGCACAAAGGATACGTTGAAGGGGGAGGCCATAACCCGCACGTAGAGGAGCCTGTCGCTTACTGCTTTGTAGGCCAGCATACTTCTAGCAGCTACCTTGGACAGCAAGACTGCCACGCCCCTCCTGTGGATATCCCCTCCAGAGTAGACAACTAGTTCTCCGCCTGATGTGGTGAAGTAACCAGTACCAGTCCAGTGGGTTTCGGCAACACCTAGGACACTGATGTTGCACCTTTCCATTTCCCTGGTAACGTTGTCCAGCATCCCTGCTTTGTACAGTGTACGCACATTCCATGTTGCGATTCTTATAGTTGATCTCAGGTTGATTCTGCCGGGATTCTCCCTTCCTTCGGTAGTGGGCCTCCCTTCTGTGTTACCATCTGGGTTTGGGTCCACTACGTCATCCTCTGTCCTTGGGTGGATACCAACAGTATCCCCCTCTTCTCCAGTAGCCATTAGGGCGGGATTCTGTCTCCTGGAGGGTCCAAGACTCCCGTCCATCACTCTCTGCTGATACTGTTGTGCTTCCATAGTACTCATGGGAAAGTTACACCAGTGGGTTCCCAATCCTCTTCTGGCTAGTGACACCATGAAATGGTGTCACCCCCTCACGTGGTTTTGCCCGCCTGCTGAAGCGGTGTACCGGGGTGTGGCGCTTGGAGCCAACACGTGAGAGTTTTAGGGATAGGTGAGGTACAGTGGTGCCTGTCCACCCGACTAGGTCGGGTGCAGCAGACAGACCCCCAAAGATACGGACCAAGGTACGATGTGCAAGCCCAGGGCATATTCCCTGGTTCGGTGTGCAAACCCGAGGTACGGACCCCTACCCAGAGCCCCTACACCCCAGTGTAGGGGCTCTGGGTAGGGTGAAAGATACATGTACATGTAAATCCTGCGACTGTTGCAATTGGAAAGGTGGTCTTGACGTACATGTGATTTAGAGCTTGAGCTGTAGATTTAGAATGTCAAGGTTCTGGGTTAGAATCCCTAAAGAAGACGCCTTGGGAAAGGTACTTTACAACACTCCTCACTCAAAGTGAAAATGAGTACCTATAGTATTGCTTAGGAATGTACTCTTGGATGGAACACAGAGCTACATGTAGATGTCCCATTTTTGAGGAGAGCCACACCTTGAACAAATATCCAACCACACCTATCGAAAAGACCAGGTTCTAGCAAACACAATAGTATACACGTACACGACGTGTAAAATCCTGTACCTTCTGCCGTTAATACAGATGACGTTGGCGCCCTGCAGAGCAGTCTCCAGGTCCATGACCCGCTGCAGTTCCTGTGCGTACGCCGGGTGGTTCTCCAGCACAAGCTCCGATACCTTCTTAGACACCTGGGGACACAGTGCACATGTACATACAATTGAAGAGTGTTATCAGCTGACATTCAGAATAGTTACAATCATTGTTGCTGTGACATGTATATGAACAAGTCTGGAAATACAACCTGCATATGCAGTTTAGTGCAGGTACCAGTAAAATTGGAGCTGTGCATGTACTTCAGATCCCTGCCTGGCACCACTTCATAATAAAACGAGAAATCAACTTGAAGGTTCATATATATGTACTTCTGTGAGTAGGGTATTTGTAAATGTCTTCTTTTGATTTATTCTGTAAATTTCTTGGCCATGATAAAGCCAGCCTACAACACTTAGGTTGACATAGGTCCAAGTAAAATTGACATGAAGCTGAGTTGTTTACCGCTGCCAGCTGTCGCCGTAGCCTGTTCCTGTCCTTGTCAATGTCCTCTAGGCTCAGCTTCTCTGGACCATCTTTTAGCTTCTGTAAAATCAGAGATGAGGGAAAATGGGGGCAAATTTAGATTCATACAGCATTGAGGAGCATATTATGTCATATAGCGGTGGCATCGTGTGGTATAGTGGTAGGGCTTTCGGCCCCAGACCCAGGGGCCCTGGGTTCAATCCACCTACTACATACCGCTATGTTGTGCCCTTGGGAAAGGCACTTAACACACATTTCCTTATACAGCCAGTCTCGGAAAGCTGTCAAAAACTTTAGAGTTTGGCGTTAGGAAGAGCATCCAGCCAGTAAAAACCTTGCCTCAAAAAAGACTTGTACAGGCTTGCTGTTGTGCACCTCAGCATGCTGAGGGGCAAAATGACAAGCCCAAACATGCACCTTGTAAGCACGTCTATACCCCCGATTCGGGGAATCAATAGACGTAAAACTCGGATAAAAAGAAGAAGAAGCGGGTGCACATGGTGACTATAGAACACAGCAAAAACTGATTATGACAAGGGTGGCAGCAAGATTCACACAAGTACAAACATACACTTGACAGAGCATTGCAGAGCAGCTTACAGGTATATTTTACAGGTAGTGGGTGTGTTCAAACAACCATTTTTTATCTACTGCTACATGTATTTGCCTGTATAGCCTATATAAGGCTATGGGAATACCTTAACCCAAAACCTATTTTTTAAAAGTCACATAACATTATTATTATCAAATTTAAAAAGAGGACATTTCCCTTCAAATGGAAACATAGATTGACCTGTAGTTCATGTTTGCTGGGGTCCCAGGAGTCATCACTGTAGTACACCTCCTCTATACTGTCTATGGCCTGCAGGGGGCAACAGTTAACCTTCACACTAGCATGGTGTCACACATCAAAACAACAACAACACCCCATCCAATCTACCTCTTCCAAACTCAGATGAGGTTGCAGAACACAAGTATTGGTTCACTACGTGCATGCAGATAATTTCATTTCCAAACAATCATAATGTTCAATCTGAAAAAAAAACTTTTTAAAAAGTTTACATCTTCCCACACGGAATTGGTGCATCTTTTTTACCACATGTTGAGATTTAAGTACAAAAATGTAGGAAGCAATCTGTTAGGTCATGGCTGATTTGTGTTTTGAAGAGGTTGATTGGGTGACGTGTGTATTTAAATTAGACTCACATATGACAATAGAAGTCAGTGTAAACGTGAGCTTTCACAATCACACTAACTTCATATCATCACAATTGTGTACATGAAATCAACATGATGTAACATGTAAACATTCACAATACATCTTCCACAACCACTTCCACATAAGTCACCAACAGTACCAGCAGACAATTACAAAGGTTGAAAATGAAATGAAAATGAGCAACATGTAAGTGAACATATGAATCCATGTCAACCCAAATTATTATCACAATCTCAAAACTTTGTTGGATATTCACACTATATTCGTAATTCCGTCTGATGTGAACATGCAAAGATATTTTTTCTGAAATTAGTGCATTTAACTGTCAACAGTGGAGACTGGACCATTGAATGTTTGAGGAACATTGAAGAAAGTGTACACGTTTTCCAGAAATTTGTATGCAACTTGGATGGATGGCAATTTTCACTCTTGAACACTATAGGGGGTTTGAAACTTTGCAAAAAGTACTTTGGGTGCTTGTGTGTGACTTGGTTTTCCTAATGTTGTGGCTACTTGTGTCTACTTTATAACAGCTCTAACTATAGCGCAAGTGTACATTGTACGTGTGAAGCAAAAGTATGTTGTCAGCAATGCCCAGAGTGAAAAGTTTAATGTGTGAGTAGTGAAAATTTGGTCTGTTAAGGGCCAAGTTGTACTTACCTCAGTTATCACACCTACTAGAACATTGTAAGTGTGCCCTACCAGTAGTTCTGGGTCCAAATTTCTATATATTTCAATGCATGTCAGGGTTTATGTGACTTTACTTAATCTTCAAGTTGATCCTATGGTGACAAGGCTGTACTGTAACAATTGGTCAGAGGAATGACCATCAGCCATTAGTGACTGACCAACAGTTACAGCCTGATGCCACTGTAGGGTACTAGTATGCTTGGAGGTTAACTTCAGTTAGTAAATCACTGACAAAGGCAATTACTGACAACATACCTACGTACTCACTCAAAAAACTGCAGATATTTTCATTGCAATTTGATCAGTAATTCCAGACTTAAGCTCAGCTTGATTGAAAATCAGTTCATCAGCTTCCAGCAAAAATCAGTTGGATTTAAATTCGCAAAGCACAGATTCGAAAGCTTATGCCGATCAGTATGTTGATTCAAAAGTTGATTTGAATTTTACAAAAATGAAAAAGCGGCGTCAACACACCAAAAACTGACACATAGATAGAAACGAGGCTCTCACACGTACAAACATGCACTTGACTATCTCGGTGTGTTCATGAGACCAACTTCGGTCCCGGGTATACGAGGTTGTGGGTTCAATTCCCGAACCTGCACTTTTAGTTCTGTGCTTGTAGCTTTCCCTCTTGCCCATGAGACCGGCCTGTAGAGTCTTAAAATAGTAGTCAGGGAATCAGTGGGGGGATGGGGAGGGTTTCAGAAGTTCAAGAAAACATTTTATGAAGTCGGTGGAGGAAGAAATGTTTCTTTGCTGTATTGAGTTGAGGATTTAACATCTGTGCTCTTCTTGATGAAGGTTAGACATTTAAACTCTGGACTACTACTGGATAGATACAGGGATACATGTAACTTCTGGACATTCTATAACAGTATAAGTGACATATATTGATGACTGACTATATGATAATGAAGATTCTGCACTGGATGACTATTTTCTACAGATACGTGCACAGATATACATGTGTACATGTACATGTACAATGTATGTACTCACCTCCTGATCAGCCAGCGGATCATTGGGAAACTCTCTCTCCTCCTCCTGGAACATTAGCATAAAAATGTTATAACATCCAGTAAACAAGTAGTATGCACGTATCATGTATCATTACAACTGTGTTAATGGATTTGTTGGGACAATCATGTTCCCTGTATTTTGTTATATTCTCTTTGACCTCTTCCCTCATGAGTCATGACCTCAATGAAAAGTGCCCAGCAGGCCAATTTGAGTATTTCATGCCTAAACAAAGGCCCAAACAAACAAACAATTAAACAAACAAACCTTTGTCGTATCCATCTTAGTTTAACCCTGAGTCTGCTAAAACAGTCATTTCACACCAAATGAGGTAACAAAAGGCCTGTATACCTTGTAGATGTACAGCGGCCTGTCAGGTGATGTGGGACTCCTGTCTTCATCTCCCACCTGCTGCAGCTTGTCCTGTAACAGGTGCACAAAACTCTGTAGACTGGAAAACACACCTGACATGGGTGTAATCTGTACCTGTAGCTGTACCAGTCTGTGGAACACACCAGCTTCACAGGAGCACAGGAAACACTCTGTTGTACTGCACCAAACCTGACATCTGTGTAAGTATGTAACTATGTGAGTGTATCGATTTGATAGCGCATATGTGCAACTCATATGGGCCTGTTTGCTAGTATACGTAGAGGGTGGCAGGCAGTACCATAATTTTGTAGGTATGTTACCCAAAACAACTGTTATACAAAGAACATGTGTTGCCTTGTCTGATATCAAACAGTATCAGCATTTTTAAGAAAAACAAAATAATGGGAAAAAATAAGGCAGCAAATAAGCATATGTTTATAAATACAAGATGAATACAGTACACAAACCCATACAAAAGTGGTACAGTCTAAAGGACAACATTATATATAGTCGTCCCAAGTTACCCCATGGAATGTTGGGTCAGACATGGGGCATGTCATCTGCATGTTGTCATGGGAACAGGTTTGATTGACAAGCAGAACACATGTGGTCCAGAGCAATTCATGAGGTCGAGTTTCAAAACAGGAAGGAAGAAAACCATACTATAATATAATGTGTGTGAAGTAAGCTGTAGGGTGTACATAAAATGTAGAGTGCATTGCTTATTGTGCATACATACTATTACTATAAGAAGATTATGATTTGTTCATGTGTTCTCCTGGAATCAACATTTCACATACTAGTACGTACTGGGACAGACATAACCTACACAGGACTCTACAGCCAAATGAGGACACATCACATGCCACTACAGATATAGATCGATTACAAAAGCAGTCATAATGAATTTTGTTTACTGACTAGGAGTAGGACCAAGATTAAGAATACAGTGACATTGCAACACACAAAACCATCATCATATCGCATTTATCATTTTCCATAATCTCAAATGTGCCTAAAATGTACACAATACCTGTTTGATGTAAAAAGAAAACATAAACGTACGGTACATGCACAGTAAATTTTATAGACAGGTACATGTACGTATAGGTGGGTGTCGCCCCCCTCCCACTTATTGACATTAGGAGGTCCAGGGTTTTTTCTACCGTTTGAAACAAAATTAAAACGACATGATAAACTCAATCTAGTCCTCAGAGCTTCTACATATCCACCCGTAGCTATACCACCGGGTCAAACCTACCTTCAGTGCCACGAGAGATTTTAATTTCTTCATTTTCCGTGTGATTTTTCCGATTTCTGACATCAGACAGCCGCCATCTTGGATCACGTGACCTGACGTACCTGGTACGAGACGACAGGTGTCCCGCGCATGCCCTGTGCTAAGTTACTAGTATATACGTCAGTTTTTGGCTGGATTGCTTGAAATATATACACGGCACTAGAAGATGGTCCGTTCTAGAAAGGAAAGAAAGTATACAAGGATAAAGATTTCCTTTTTTTCTGTTTTCTTTGACAAATTACACGACTGCAAACCACAACAGGTATGTTAACAAGCATTGCCGGCCATATGACTTTATTCAAAATCGCTTGAAATATTGAACCATCATTACCGACTCTACCAGACAAGAAGAAAACTTTCGAAGATAACTTCGTATGACAGAAATGAAAGCCTGTTTCAGGAAAATAGGTGAGTCATTTCATAAAGCAATGTGTAGTTTTAAGATCTGAAAAATATTAATATAGTTGATTTTTCGGTCAACAGTAATGCTTATGCGTTCCTTTGGTAAACGCGCCATTGTCATTTCAAACTTCAACTTGGTGGAATAGAAACTTTTTTCTGCTGAACAGTCAGAGTGTATATCCCGTCTGAATGGTCCCCTTGCCGCTGCACCAGTCGCACGGGGTGCAGAAGAAGCAGCGCTGAGTCCGCCTGGCCCGGTGGGGCACCTCGGCCCATCCCCCGGCGTGCACCGCTCCCCTGCCCCGGCACTGCGCACACAGCGCCCGTCCCACGGGCATCACCCCCTTCCCCTCACACGCGCCGCAGTCCTCGCACAGCAGGCAGCGCACCCTGCCGGTTTGCGTGTGCGCTGCAGGCGAGCCGTGGAAGAAGCCCTTGCCCTCGCAGCGGTGGCAGATGTTGGAGGTGATGGGGATGACGCCGTTGCCCTTGCAGGTCGTGCAGCGGCGGCAGAAGTGGCAGGGCAGCTCGCGGGACGGCGCCCAGTGCCAGGTGTCGTCACTATGCGCGATGCCCAGTCCGTCACACCTGTAAAAGACAACATTACAATAGCATTTGCACGACAGTTCTTTTACAACTCAAACTTTCCGCTGCATCCTTCGAAAGCTTCAATAATCTACAGAAAAGATTACCCTCTTGATATGACCTTAAGAGCAATAGATTAAAGATCGATCCAGTAGAAGTCGGTATCGTCCACCGTGCTGTATGAAGAGTATAAAATCCCTACCTGTAGCAATACTTGAACTGGGCTGGGTCGTCACTTTGTGTCTCCGATCGCGAGTCAGAGTCAGAGTCAGTATCCTTGTCAGCAACTTCGTCTTCCCAGCCATGCAGCTCCCTCAGGCTTGTAGCGGACGGGGTCTCCATGGGAACGCTCGTATCCATGGAAACGTCCGATGACGCAGAGCTGGCGGAGGCGTAGGCGCTGCCCGCGTGTGACGACTGGCTGGCTGCAACCGCCGCGGGCCTGTTGTTTGGGAAGTACCCGCTAGGAGGCATGGTGGAGTAGCCTTGTGGCCCTGATCTGGGCGACGCGCGAATTCCACCTGTTGCCATGTCGGAAGCGACGTTCCAAACGTTGGTGTTGAAGCTGAAGTTGCTCAGCCCGGCCTCCGTGGCGGTACCGAAGGTGACGTTACTCGGGTGTAAGGACATGGAGAGGGTTTGGCTGGAGGACGGCTGACTGACAGGCGCCCCGCTGTTGGGTCCATCCAGCGGTCCACCAGACGAAGCCGACCGGTGGCGGAAACTCCGAAACTTCCGACGAATGACGTCCTCGATGGAGCGCAGGTTGATGACGGAGCGGCGGCGAGGGGTCGACCCTAGGGTGGAGGAAGATGGCGTCTCTTCCTGGTGACTCAAGGAGGTTTTCGAACTCGACCTTGAAGTTGAAGGAAGGTCGCTCTGAGAGATAGACACCCCGTACCTGTGGCGTAAGAGGTTGTTGACGGAGCTGAGGTCAACAGGCGACGGGCGGGAGCCCAAAGTGGAATAAGACGGCGAGTCTTGGCTCCTTTCTTGAGACATCTGCAGCCACGCACTTCTTAACCTTGAAGCATCTTCTGCGCTCATTATGTCCTCCAAAGACTGAAGATCAACAGGCGAAGGGCGGGAGCCGAGGGTGGAGTAAGAAGGCGAGTCTTGGCTCCGCTCTTGAGACCTTGGTGGCCGTGAATTTGACTTTGAAGCATCTTCTTCGCCCCCGTATCTTTGACTTATGATGTTTTCCACAGACTGAAGGTCAACAGGCGAGGGGCGGGAACCGAGGGTGGAATAAGACGGAGTTTCCTGGCTTCTGTCTTGAGACGACCAGACTCTTGGCGTGTCGTCTGCGCCTGTTGGTCCATCTGAGACCCCTTGTGTCGTGACGTCATCTATAGAACGGAAGTTGAATCCCGACCTGTGATCCACAAACGATCCCAGTTGATCCGAGGAGACCTCGTACCGCCGATCTCGCCAGGACCTTGGAGCTGGATCGTCTTCTCTGTGATCTTGACCTTCTCGGAGTTTTCTGTCCAAGATGTCTTCCACCGACTGGAGGTTGACGGCCGGGTGATGGGCCCAGAACGACCCCAGAGTAGCGGACGAGGGAAACTCTTGGCGACGGTGTCGACCTTTCCGTGACCTTGGACTTGTTCCAGACGCCATTTTGTTCGGCGTGGGCCCGGTTTAACTTTATCACTCGCTACTCGACCATTCCAGGCTCTTGTGGTTCAAAAGAATAATCTGAAAAAGTTTGTAGCTTCCGCCACGCTCATTGTGAGTCGTGGAAAGTTGCTGAAGCCGCAAGTTTGTCTTTCGATCTCCTTTTACACAATGCAATACGTTCTAGAACGCTTCTGAGGAACCCCGTTTGTTGGTTGGTATGTAGTTACACCGACACCACAGTGCATTATTCGACGATAATCCTTGAGACGGCTAGAATTCATTGTTGTCTTACGTCACTTATGATTGTTTGAGTGAGATCAATAGCCTCTGTTGAAAAATTGTTTGTGACGTCTTTCTGATGAATAGAGTATTGCCTTATATGAAGGAGAGCAACAGTAACGTTACTAGTGAATTATCATATCGGGGACAGGAAATAGAATTAACGTCGAACATGTAACGTTACATGCTTTGCGCACTTCTTCTGAAAAGAAGACGGCAAGCTTCAGGCCCACCTACAATCGAAAAATCATGATGTTACACGGACGGCACTGCTATTAATACCGTTACTACTCTGGTCTCTTAGCAGATGTTCGAATGAAGGGTTGTTACGATTTGCGGCTGGTCTGGCCGTGAGAATGGCTTTGGGCGTAGCCTAAAAGTACGAAGGCCCCCCCACACAAATTTCAAACAACGGCAGATATATGGTGCATGGGGCAGAAATTTCGGGTGCTATGTCAGAAAACATTACAATCTTCCACAAAACATCTGCTTGGAGATTTATGTGAATGCTCCAATTGTAACGACTGGTACGCAGTGATACAAACCCGCCCCCCGACCTTCTGACCTTCACAAAACTTGTTCGTCAAGTTAGGACAACTAACGTGTCCGGACTGAACCATGACGGAGAGGGGGTTCTCTCCTTTTTTCTATATTTACCATAAAAATTAAACTCCAAGTTCAGATTCTTAGTAGACGTGCTTATTCGTATTGTACTTGTCGTTGCTTGTTCGTACTTTTACAGAACCAGATTTGACATGTATGAAGTTAATGACGAGTTTAATGTGTAGTTTAATCCCCGCCACAGTTTATGGATTGTTCTTGCCTTTGGCATTTGAAACACTAAAGAACCAACATTATGCATATGTGCCTCGCTTGGTCGCGTAAGGCTGGATTCTAGGTAAGTGTATGTTTTAATTTTATAACTCCAAATGCCAGGCAATTGACGAACAAGCTGACTTGAAAGTTGTTAGTAAGTGATAGTGAACATATCTCCGTATCTGTTGTGTCTATCAACATTTTTGTGTTTGTGAAATCGCTGTCATTCTGGTGGGTTTACGCCTGGTGATCAAAAGGATCATCATTTTAACTGCTCCAGTGACTATGAGGGCTAAGCCTGCTCATTCAAACATGCAGGGAGCTGTCACAACAATGGCGTATCCCTCCCTCCTTACACATTTTTACCATTTTCTCACGAACGACACGGTCGTATTCGTCGTAGTTTGTCGTACGATTTTGATACTGTAGAACATGAAAATGGGCTGTGCATTACGTGACAAAATCATCTACCGACAAAGCCTTTAGCGTAACAAGACAGCAGTTGCAGGACACTTACACACGACTATCCACAGAACACACGCACTCAGTTTGCGATCGTGCGACGACCGTGCGACGATGGGGCGACACATGTGACCGGGCCCTTACTTGGAGTTGTTAGACGGGGTTCCGTGTTTTCCAAAACCTGGTCATCTAGTCTATAAAGAAACGTACAATGGTGAGCAACGCGCTACGATGAGTGACTAGACGATAGGGGATTATTACCGACACGCAAGTGTCTCTGTATGCGAGTAAACATTCACGGTGAATTACTGGTTGGTTGGTTGGTTGTTTGTTTGTTTGTTTGTTTGTTTGTTTGATTGCTTGTTTGTTTGTTTGTTTGATCCTTTGCTTATTCATAAAAAAAACAAATTGCCTACAGCCCACTTTTCATTGAGGTGAAAAGGGAAGGGTCAACAAAATATAACAAAATACAGGTTACATAATGGAAGTACTAATGATCGTCATTAATCTTAAAGACATATATTCCTTTGCTGTATCACCATGTTGTCTACAGGCACCTCAATCTGCCACTATGAGACGATAGGGATAACATGGCCGGCTGGAAGATCGTTGTGTGTGTCCTCGGTTCTCTGGGTGAGTATTTACAGTCCGCAGTCACAAACGCCGAAGGATTATGTTTTTTATTTCATGCCAAAACAGGAAACTGAAGAATTTCATACCTCCGAGAATACTAAATAGCAAGAGATGATGTGAATTTCGTGCTTCATTCATTTCTGTGAATTTCTCACTGATTTTCGTGTATGCATGCAGGTTCCTACTGAAAATGCCTGTAATTTTCATTTGATCCGCAGGGGGCCTCTTCATCGCCACTGCCGTGGATGCCCCGTGTAAGACTATCCTGTCGCCGGGTGGCATCCCGGTAGATCAGTGTCTGGGGGACTACGTATGTCATAACGGAACGTGTGGGTGGGTTAGAAGCTTCCTTCCATCGATACATCCATTTACCATTTGAATTAGAATACAATAGACAGCATCCAATTTTAAAACTTAAGAGCCGACATGTTCATTTGCATGCAAATGCACATTATCTCTCCCAAAGTGATGCTGTTTTCCACATTTCCTTGAAATGTGTCTTTTCTGTTTATTTTCCAGTGAACGTTCTCAGACTGATAAACTGGCCACCTGTCTACTGCCGAAAACGGAATCTGTACAAACACAGTGCCCAGTTCGACTTCCTGGTCTGGTGGGTATTCCTGTAGGTCAAGGTCACAAATGAAATATTGCTAAAGGATAGGGCTTCCACATATAAAATGTAATGTAAGTTGAGTTGAGTTGAGTTGAGTTGAGTTGAGTTGAGTTGAGTTGAGAAAAAAACCGTAAATTAAAACACATTATGCTTATTACAACCTTACGACTATAATCAATAAGACAAATAAAAAAGAACAAAAAAAAAAGAAAACATTTACAAAAGCTCTAGATATTTCATGGAGGTACTAGGTGTGAGATCTCCCAATTCTTGTGTTAGTCGTGTTGCTTGCTCCCGTGTCGTCCTTAAAAACATGTAAGGAAAAATATATATACTTGGTTAAACCTTGTATATGTATTTTTCATTGCTTCTCCTAGGAAATATCCCGGGACTTTTTAGTCGACCTGGTCAATCAAGTTGTTACCGGATTGAATGACTCCCTCTGCAGCGGAGAGTACTGGAACATCGGCTATCACGTCACTGGTCAGCTGGACACTGGGGGGAAATGCTCCCAGCGATTCAACCGAGAGATCGCCGGGTGCTCCCAGCAGTTCTTACAGAAGTTTCTCACAGGGAATGCTTCATCTGACGTTCTCTGTAGGTAAGAACATGTCTTACACAAAAGGAAAGACGTAATTGTTTACATACGTATGAACCGTCCATTCCTTTAATGTTTAATTCTTCTATTTTTGTTTATTTTTATTTTTTATTTTTGCTTAAAATTATCTCAATTTGAAGCGCCTCCAACAATCCGAAATTCTCCTTTGGTTGCATCCTGATCTGTTCTATTTCTTTCTTTCTTTTGTAATATTTAAAAAAAAACAGTCTGTTTTGTTTCCGAATTTTGTATTTTCATCTGTTTTCCTGCCTATTTTGTGTTGGTTGAACATCTTAATGGGTGACTGTGATGTCATATACAAATCCAAATGTACCCTTCAAGTTTAACCATCCAATATGGCGGACAACACCTATACGTCATAGTCACGTGAGTGCTAACAGGCTTTAGCAATAATGACGTCATTGTAAGCCGTTCTGTTTCCCATATTAGGGAATACGGAAGGTCCTTGCAGTGCTTCACAGAGTTGAGGCAGACCGAGTGCTGTTTCAACCAGACTGAACAGGCCATGCTTTCCATGATCATAACGGAGGACAATCCCTTCTGCCAATGTGCCAACGTGACATCTTTCGTCACCATGGCAACCGAACGCCCGAACAACATGGCCGCGACCGTCCCCTTCTCACAAAGAGGCCCTGCGTGTAGCAATGTTAACATGCCAAAATCTACCAACATGCCGACATCATCATCTAGCCGACTCCATCTCTTCACACCCTTGATGATTTTTAATTTCGCGTTAAGCGCGGTGCGTTGGACAAACTGTGGCTAGCAGTTCTCTCCCATCTTCAAAACTACTGCTAAGCTAATATTTCATAGGGCGATACAAGAATAGGTTTTATGTATAGCATTGCATGTATGATGCGTGGCATATAGAATGTCATACAATTATAATGCACTGTCATACAATTATAATTGATTTTGCCGCACTACTCTCTCCATCCGACTCCCGGAGCCTGGTAGAGGCTAATGAAGGATCGTTATGGTGTGCGACTGGTCTGGCCATTAGAATGGCTTCGGGGCGTGGCCTAAAAGTACGAAGGCCCCCACACACAAATCCCAACCAACAGCAGAAATATGGCGGGACGGAAATTTCGCGTCACATTGGTACTATCCCAGAAAACATTACAATCATCCACCAAACATCTGCTTGGAGATTTATGTGAATGCTCCAACTGTAGCGACTGGTACGCAGTGATACAAACCCGCCCGCCGACCTTCTGACCTTCACAGAACTTGTTCGTCAAGTTTAATTTGGAACGTTGAACTATCGTGTCCGGACTGAACCATGACGGAGAGGGGGTTCTCTCCTTTTTTTCTATATTTACCATAAAAATTAAACTCCAAGTTCAGATTCTTAGTAGACGTGCTTTTTCTTATTGTACTTGTCGTTACTTGTTTCTTACTTTTACAGAACCAGATTTGCAGGTATCAAGTTAATGACGTGTTTAATGTGTAGTTTAATCCCCGCCACAGTTTATGGATTGTTCTTGCCTTTGGCATTTGAAATACTAAAGAACCAACATTATGCATATGTGCCTCGCTTGGTCGCGTAAGGCTGGATTCTAGGTAAGTGTATGTTTTAATTTTATAACTCCAAATGTCAGGCAATTAACTCACGAGCTGACTTAGAAGTTGCTAGTAAGTGATAGTGAACATATCTCCGTATCTGTTGTGTCTATCAATATTTTTGTGTTTGTGAAATCGCTGTCGTTCTGGTGGGTTTACGCCTGGTGATCAAAATGATCATCATTTTAACAGTGACTATGAGGGCTTGTTCACTTAAACATGGAGGGAGCTGTCACAACAATGGCGTATCCCTCCCTCGGTATTCTTACACATTTTCCCCATTTTCTCACGAACGACGCGGTCGTATTCGTCGTAATTTGTCGTACGATTTTGATACTGTAGAACTTAAAAACGGGCTGGGCATTTTGTGACAGAAGCAACCACCGACAAAGCCTTTAGCGTGACCGTGCCACGATGGCACGACGCATGCGACCGGGCCGTGTACTTGGAGTTGTTAGACGGGGTTCCATGTTTTCCAAAACCTGGTCATCTCGTGTATAAAGAAACGTACAATGGTGATCAACGCGCTACGATGAGTGACTAGATGATAGGGAATTATTACTGACACGCAAGTGTCCCTGTATGCGAGTAACATTCACTGTGAACTACTGGTCTATTTGTTTGCTTGTTTGTTTGTTTGTTTGTTGATCCTTTGTTTATTCATTAAAAACTCAAATTGCCTAGAGGCCACTTTTCATTGAGGTCATAAGGGATCAACAAAATATAACAAAATACAGGTTACATAATGGAAGTCCTAATGATCGTCATTAACCTAAAGACGTACATGTATACACCCTTGTTGGTATCTCCATGTTTTCTACAGTAGACACCACAATCTCCCACTATGAGACGATAGGAACAAAAATGGCGGACATGAAGGTCGTGTGGTTTGTTCTTGGTGCTCTGGGTGAGTATCTGACGTCTGGTCACAACACAGAATATCATTTTTGACCTTGTATCTCATGCCAGAACAAGAAATTGAAGATTTCAAACCATCGATTACTACATGTATGAATTTTTCACTGGTTCTGTTTAACTGAAAATGACTGTAAATTTGTACTTTTCATTTGGTCCGCAGGGGGGCTCTTCATCGTCACGGCCGTGGGTGTCCCGTGTGACTCCATCCTGACGTCGGGTGGAATCCCGGTGGGGCAGTGTTTGGAGAAATACGTATGTTATAACGGGACGTGTGGGTGAGTTAGAGTTAGAGTTCTTCCATCCATCCATACACCCATCCATCCATCCATACACCCATCCATCCATCCATACACCCATCCATCCATCCATCCATAAATCCATCCATCCATCCATACACCCATCCATCCATAAATCCATCCATCCATCCATCCATCCACCCACCCATCCACACCCATCCATCCATCCATCCATCCATCCATCCATCCATCCATTCATCTGAATATAATTGGCCATGGGATGCAATGGGTTTTTAAAAATAGAAAGCCAACATTTGCATTTGCATGCCACCTTCTCTGTTGTTGCTGTTTTTTTTTTTGATATTTCATTCAAATCGTCATTTTCCCTTTATTCTTATTTTCCAGCGAACGTTTTGACAAACTGAAAGCCTGTGTTTTGGAGGCGATGCATTCTTTACTTGCCCGGTGCTTTCCTTATCTGGTAGGTATTTACCCGTCCGTGTTAATCTGTGACGAAGGTTTGCAAAATCCGGTTGATTTATTTTTCCAAAAAAATACAGTATACAACACATCGTCTTTTAGAGTAGAACTGAGTTGAGTTCAATACGCCCCCGACTGAACAAATTCCCGGTAGTTTTAAGAAGAAGAAGAAAAAAAAGAATAAGAAACAAACACAGGAAATTATGTTTTTCTTTGCTTTCTTTTTCTGTTGCACTAAATGTAACAGAGGCCACTAATGCACTTTTTGCTTGTTTCTATCTATTGCTATTCTTGTTATGTCAGCCATGTTGTTTATTTCAATTCCATGGCGTTCTGAAAATTTATGAAAATATATCTTGTGTCCTACCGTTTCTCCCAGGAAATATCCCAGAACGTTTTAGCCGACCAGCTTCAATTTGTCAACGCCTTGAACGGTTCCCTCTGCAGCGGAGATTACTGGCACCAAATCTTTTACGTCACTGGTCAGCTGGACATTGCAGGGAAATGTTCCCAGCGATTCAACCGAGAGATCACGTGGTGCTCTAGGCAGTTCTTATGGGGATTTCTCACGGGGAATGCTTCATCTGACGTTCTCTGTAGGTAAGGACATGTCTTACACAAAGGGAAAGACGTGATTGTTTACATACATATGAACCGTTCATTCCTTTAATGTTTGTTTCTTCTTTCTTTTTTTTTTCTTTTGCTTTTATCTCAATTTTGAAGTTATTTGGTTGTATGTTCTATTCCCTTTTAAAAAAACACTCTGTTTCCACACTTTGTCACGTCATTTTTTTCCTGCCTATTTTGTGTTGTTAAACTAACATCGTAAATTTAACCACCCAACATGGCGGACAACACCTATACGTCATAGTCACGTGAGTGCAAACACGCTTTAGCAATAATGACGTCATTGTAAGCCGTGCTGTTTCCCATATTAGGGAATACGGGAGGTCCTTACAGTGCATCAAAGAGTGGAGGCGGACCGAATGCTGTTTCACTCAGACTGAACTGGCCATGCTGTCTCATCTTCATGAGTACAATCCCTTCTGCCAATGCCCCAACGTGACGTCATCCGCCGTCGCCATGGCAACCGAACGCCCGAACAACATGGCCGCGACCGTCCCCTTCTCACAAAGAGGCCCTGCCTGTAACAATGTTAACATGCCGAAATCTACCAACATGCCGACATCATCATCTAGCCGACTCCATCTCTTCACACACTTGATGATTTTTAATTTCGTGTTAAGCGCGGTGCGTTGGACAAACTGTGGCTAGCAGTTCTCTCCCATCTTTAAAACTAGCTACCCGGTGGTCCTTTTGGGTTTCTTCAATATTTCGAGAAACTTAAATTTTCTGGAAAATAGATTTTATAACTGTAAAGCTAATATTTGATAGGGTGTTACGAGAAGAGGTTTTATGTATAGCATTGCATGTATGATGCGTGGCATATAGATAGTCATACAATTATGATATACCAATGTACTCTTTTGAAGTACTGTAGATAACAAAAAGAAGAACCGTTTGCCTATGTATTGTGTAACGGTTCAGAATCACACACATGCAGACAAGCACACAGAGAGAGAGAGAGAGAGTTAGAGAGAGAGAGAGAGAGAGAGAGAGAGAGAGAGAGAGAGAATCCAAAAACACGAAGGGCTGTTATACCGGCTATACCGATAATAAAAGATACAAATACAGATCATGTCAGCTTTGTTTGCTGTCGTATCTACGAGTACCCTGACAGACATCACCCTACCCATTTGGCACAGAGCGCCCATCCTCGCGTGCCAGCCAGCCGGCTATGAAAGACTTAATCAACGTTCCTATCCTCACCGGGAACATTAATGGGGCAACAACCCTAACCTGGCGACATCTCCGAATAGACCCCGTGTAGACCTTACCGTACAGTCATCCCACTGGGACGTTTACGACTTGACAACCTCGTTAGAAAGCACTAAAGACCTTTGCACAACGTCTGCAGCCAACATGAAATGCGCCACGAAGTCGTGTGTTTTATCTAAAGCTACCGGAGTTCTTTGCCGACGAAGCCGGGATTTGCATGACCTAGTGCCGCCAAGAACAGAGACTTCTGACGGAGTTATCTTTGTGTTCAGTTTTATCCACAGATTTAGATCATACTTGCGGCACATGGGCGGTACGTATACAGGCGATGTATCAAGGAGGTTTTAACCGATTTGATTGTGCACAGACTGTTAGGCATACTAGTGATCCACAAAACGTTAATGAATAAAACACACAGCAGATTAGACTGCCAAAGACACTGCCCTTGATCGACTGATCGTGTGCTTGCTTTGTTGCACGGTGCTTTAAGGTAAGAGGATATAGCCTGGAGTCCAGCCGTGTCAAAGTTCTTACTTTGATATCAAAGTTTTTTAAATCTTTAAAGTTAACGTCGATGAAGGTTAGACATTCAGGTAATAAGATATGCCAAAAAGCAGTTACTCACGCAACTGGATTTCCAAAATCACATCCAGTTGCTTGAGTAACTGTTTTTTGGCGTATCTTTTAAGTTAAGGTTACAAGCTCTGTCGTTTGTCGTTTTCTTTTACTGTTTCTAGTAAGAATGTCAAGGTTGTTGATTTAGGGACCATCTGAGTGATGTATCCAGCCGAGTTGAACGTGCTGTGCTCTCTAATAACGTGTTTTGTGGCCTGTCATGTCCCGGCGGCTCGGCGTCGGATGTCACCCGGGGTGGCCAACACTCACGGAACTGATTCAGACTGAAGAGGTGTATATACAGCATGTCGGCTGGAGGAGGAAATTAGCCGTCAGAAGACGCAAACTTCGACACGTCTCCGGGCTTATATGGGAAGGCTGAGATCCGGGAGGGAAGGAGCGGCACAGCGGTAGACTATCGTTAGGTAAGACATAATTGGCGTGGGTTTATCTATATTTACAGATGTACCGTAGCAACAGGGAGGAACGTGAAGCCCCTCCATATCAATGAGTTGCAATGATTAAATTATGGGTAGTCTCCGCCTGTCCAAGAACACAGACACGGTTCTGGATACGCTTGGACCATCCAGAACCGTGCCTGAGCATTTTGCATACAACACCTCTGGATATTTCTGGACACCTCTGGTTGGCAGTTAGGCCATGTTGATTTGATTATATGGATGACATCCTCTGGGAACCCCAAAACTGATGCCAACGTGGGAATAAAAAAAGTTTGGCAAAAAAAAGTTGCTTTCATTATGAAATCTACGTGGTCATGAAGGTATGAATATGGTGTGGCGAATCTACTCTTTAAATTCATTTCTTTACATTTTCGTTTTTTTTGTGTGTCGATTTTGGCATTATACGACATTGGTATCGTTTTCAAATATTTTTTGCAACTTACGGTATATATTTGCTCATTTTGCAACTGTTTTGTACGATTTTACAGTATGCTTGAAAACGTTTTTTTTTTCTTTTTTTTTTTAAACGGATGAAAATTCATTCGCGCACGGATGTCATCCATATAATCAAATAAACATGTAATTTGTAAGCTCTTTTCAGCCAGCAAGGTGCCCTCTGTAGCACTGCTTTTGGAGAGGCCCTCTCACGTTGCAAAGCACGTTACGGACAGAACAATATAAGGATTGAAAAATGTAAACAATCCATGTACCCTGCTAATCCTAACTCTATCGCGTCAAGTCAAGAGGTCCGACATCGCAGCGGTTGACAGATATCAAGCATACAACACTCAGGAGGTAAGAACTTTTCTATAGGTAGGAATCATACATACTTTATTTTGTACTGCAGAATAACTCTCCCTTGTCGTCAACCTACAAATAGCGACAAAGGTTGATATCTAATCAAGTAGCATGGGCAATTTTGCAACATACATGTAGAAGTGATCATCATTCATATCTGTCGTAACAAAAAAGGATTAAGATTAAAGGATTAAGTCGTACTTTTAAAGGGAAGTCGTCTTGTTTTGAGCTGCAGAAAGTTGTTTTAGCCCTGTCGGCAAGAGGATTATGAAAGACACCTTGTACCTAGATCCAGGTTCACCGTGATGTCAGAAGGTTATGTATTCAGGTCTGTGTCAGTGTGTGTCTGCGTGCGTGCATGTGTGTCACGGTGTGTGTGTTGTGTATGTGTGCGTGGGTGTGTGCGTGCGTGCGTGCGTGCGTGCGTGAACAGCACAATTTGTGAATGGATCTTTACTCTATTTGGCATTTGGTCAAAATGAAGAAATAATCAAATTATGGACCCCTTGGTGGCTTTCAAAGGTACTACAACAGAAATATATTCTGGTTTTGATATCTCATATTCTGGGCATGCTATGGTTATGACTGAAAGGTAGATAGCTGTTGGGCGTTTTTATATCTAACGGAATAACCAGGGGTTCATTGTTTACATTCTCCCGTCCTCGTACTCAGCCACTCAAGTAGCGCGTCAATATGTCAAGCGACAACAAGCCGAGATTCGAACCCGTGACCTCTCGTCAAGTGCGTTTCTAAAAGCAGAGTCGATAATCTCCAGACCACACACGCCACACCTCGGGTTGAATTTACCCTCCCTACAGCGGCCCTCTCAAGTCTTTGACCCCATCAAGTTCAATTTTCCCATAAAACATTCGTGAGTGCATGAACGGGAGTGGGCCATAGTTGCAGACCGGTTGGCTGGTGTGGTAGATGCACATACACTACACACACACACACACACACACACACACACACACACACACACACACACACACATGTACACAAATATTAATACACTCGTATTTCTCTCTGTCTCCCTGTATCAGTATATTTGTGTGAGCGCCTTGCATGTATAAATAGACAATCGCACACACAAACACAGAATTATCAGCCATTGTTGTCAAAATGCTGCCCTTTCAAAAGAGGCTTAATATGCAAGATTGTTTGTGGCGCTAGCACTAACCACCCTGTACAGAGGTCAAGACCATGGCTACAAGCAGCAGGAAAGTGTTAATGGCTTTGACCTCTACGGGTGGACCTCAAGGTCAACATGTCGAGCCCACTGACTAAGGCGGTGAACAAGTAATATCACTCCCGCTAGTTAGCCTGTCAGGGGCCGGTGTATATTGGCTCGGCCGAAATTACATAAGCTACACTCCCATTCCGGATCGAGCCGGATTGAAGCCGGATCAAAGCGACTCAGGCCGTGTCTAAACGGAATCACAGGTGTGTGTGGCACGTGGACCAGATGTGAGGAATGTGAGTTACCCAAATCGCGGTTTGGGTGATTCCGTATAGACACGGCCTCAGTTTGGCTGGATCCGGACAATTTTATCCTAGTGGAAATGGGGCCATAATTTTTGCAAATTCATGCCCAGGGGGCTAATTGCAAGAACAGAAGAAACATTTGGTATAAGAACAGGTAATTAATACTCAGAGAACTACCGATAGCTCTTAACAAACTACTGGTAAAAACTACTTTTTTGAAGACAGGACTGTGTCTTCTTTTTTAGTTTCATCGGTTCATTTATTGTTCTTTTTTGAAATGGCATTATTTTATCTTCTATCAATCTAGGCCACAGTTGAATGTGTTACACAACGTCGTCCTGTCAGGAAATGATTGGATGGATATTGCCTCGGAAATTAAACCGGCTCGTTTCTTTCTTCTTTTTTTAAACAACATTTTTTTCTTATTTGCATATGAGGCCACAGTTGAATGACCGCATACAGGCACAGGTGTATGTTGGTGTGTGAAAAATCTTATAATCACCGAGAGTAGGCTGTACATTAGACGGTGTTTATCTGGTGACAGATTATACAGTATCACCGGTTCGGCTTTTAGGGGAATCAAAATGACATTATTTTTTTTTCTTTTATTAGCATGATGGCAACAGTTCAATGACCGCAGTTGTTTGCGGTAAATATTGCTGAAAAAGTCATTGACAGCATGATGTAGATTGGCTGGGAGATTCTTTTCAAAACGACGTTATTTTTTTACAAATTGTGATATTAGCAACAAGGCCACAATTGAATGAACGTAGTTGTTTGCTCTATCATTGCTGAAATAGTCATTGGCAGCACAGCATGATGTAGGTTGGCTGGGAGATTCTTGTCAAAACCTGATATTAGCAAATACTGATATTAGCAACAAGGTGAAATATTTCTGAAATAGTTATTGACAGCATGATGTACAATGTAGATATCATATATCAGACATCCCACACTGTTACTGAGTACCAGGCAAACACTGGAGTTTTCAGAATTAAGAACATATGCGTGGATGCGTGGGTTGCTCGCTCGCTCGCTCGCTCGGTTGGTTGGTTGGTTGGTTGGTTTGTGGCTTGG